TACTGGATCTTCGCCTTACTGAAATCCATCTCCGGATGCTGCTCCTGGAACTTCTTCAGAATATCCATCTTCTTCTGCTCATCGCTCGTCGGCAGTCCCATCTCCTTTTGCCTCTGATCGTACATCATCTTCTCCACCATCGCCCTCGTCTCGCCCTCGAGGTCCGACAGCTTGCTGTTCTCGGGCACGATCTTGGTCACGTCGATCTTGGGCGCCGAGGTGACTACATGAGGCCACCATTCGAGCTTGTTGTGCTTTTCGAGGTGGATTTCGAGCGCTTTTTGGTTGTTGGGGGCCGGGGAGAGGGTCCAGGTGCTGTCATCGAGGAGGATGCTGTGGGGGAGGTCACCCTGTTGAATTGAAGCAGAGGAGTTAGTTAAAGGGACTAGAAGGGGGACTTGGGTGCTTTGGTGTGCTGTTGTGGTGGTAGTGTAGGGAAGGGTGGGAGGTGTATGTAGTAGATGGGCATGTGACATACCTTAATAATAGGCTCTTGACCCTTAATACCAGCTGTGAGACTCTGCTTCTTGATGTCAACCACCATATCCTTGCCCTTCAGGTTGTTGGGCACGAGGATGGTGATGTCGACGTCGCCAATGGTCTGCGTCCACTTGTAGGGGAGAGCCTCCTGCTCGGCTTGCTCCTTGGCGCGGGCAGCGGCCTCCTCGGCGGGAGTGAGCTCTGGTACGTCTGACATATTTAGGTTCGTTAGTGGGATACGTTGACGGCAGGTTAGACTTTTGGTCTAGAGAGAAGGCGAAATTGAAGATCTGAAAGCGCACCTTTGTTGTCAGCCATTTTGAAGGTAGTTGTTTATTTGTGATGTGAATGTTATGGAAATAAAGGATGACAGCAAGCAGCTCTGGTGTTGTAGCTTGTAGAAGACGATGGAACGCGATGATCGAATTTCTGGAGGGACAGGCCAGTGTTGAACCCGCAACGGCTTCGGCCGCCCAATCCCAGGAGCTGTCCGTGAGCTGTCACCCCGAGTGGGACTCCACCCCGCGCTTGCCCGCGTCCTGTCCCCTGAGACGGAGCTGAGCGCGGCAGAGTGCCGTGAATTGCCCCACCCTGCGCCGTCAGGGTAGCTCCACTGGAGCGCTGGCGCGCGTTGGGGGACATGCAGGGATTAATCAGCCCGAGCCTAACTCTTTATCGATCGATCCCTCTTTCACAAGTCACAACATCATCGATCCCACTTGGAGTTTCAACTTTACTTCATTTTTTATTATTTCAGATTTCCACCGTTTAAACACCGCGTGACCAGCCACTTCCGCCTAAGTAGCCGAACTGGCATACTAAATATTCCAGATCTCAAGCAGCAGGCGCACACACGTCCCTGTCGCAAACCCCGACCTCTCTGACAAACGGATATCAAGGAAGATTTGGGCTCGTGATCATCGCCACTCACCGACACAACCCAAGAGAACCTTTCTCAGATACGGACATACGGACTCTCCATTGCAGGAAAACGACGTTTCGTTGTTAATAAACCAACAACGTCCTCCTCAATCAGCAAAACATCTTAAACTCACAATACCTACCGACCCTTAAGGTACCTACCGAAATCCCACTCCCGTACTCAGTCGGTCTCCGACCACCAAAAAACCACCCACCATGGCCCGCCCCCTCGACCCCCTCGGCTTCGAAGACGAGATGTGTCCCGTCTGCAAATCCCGCAAGTACCTGAACCCGGACATCGTCTTCGTCTTCAACCCCGAATGCTACCACAGCATGTGTCTTAACTGCGCCAACCGTCTGTTCAACGACGGACCCAACCAATGTCCGCACGCGGGTTGCAACAAGACCTTGCGTCGGAAAGGGTTCCGGTCCGCCTTCTTCGGCGACTTATCTGTTGAGCGTGAAGTTGACATCCGTCGCCGCGTCGCCGCGGTGTTCAACCAGAAGGAAGACGACTTTGAGACGCTGCAGGATTACAACAATTACCTGCAAATGGTCGAGGACCTGACGTTTGAGCTGGTGAATGGGACCGACGAAAAGAGGAGGCAGGCCGAGGCGCAACTGGCTGCTTGGGAGGCGGAGCACAAACAGGATATTGAGCGGAACAAGAAGGCGGGCAGGGAGGCGGATGAGATGAGCCGCAAGAGGCTGGCGGCGGAGAGGGATGCGGCGAGGCAGAGAAGGATTGAGGCGATTAAGGAGGCCGAGGAGGAGAAGAGGGAGAGGGTGAGGAGTCGCGAGATGGAGCTGGATAATCTTGCCAAGGGCATTACCGCGACGACGGCGGCGGAGCCGGCGACGAAGGTGCAGTTGAAGAGGCGCGGACAGCGGGGCGGTGTCACAGAACCGGCTGTCCCGAACCCCGCTGCTGCCGCAACAGCGGGCATGGGAGCGTCGGAGGTCGAGCGCTTGTCCATCCGTGGCTTAAAGGAGAAGCCCAAGGCGCCGGCGCCCCAAGGCCCCTACGATCCGTTTGGAGGCATGGACTTTGCGCCTAGTCGGTATAAGCTGCATGGAGGTTTGGCTCATCCGCTTATGGAGAAGTACCGGTTGGACAGACAGCATGTTGCTGGCGGGTACAGCTTTGACGACTTTGCGGCGCGCGCATTATATGAGGCGTTTGCTGGGTTGGGTGTGTTCGTCGAGGATGAGAAGGAGGTTGGCAGTGGCAGCGGTATCGGGTTGTCACAAGAGACGACCATGGCCGCGGGCATTGCTGCCGTGGGTGATCCAGACAGGATGGATTTGGACTGAACAGAGCAGTTCTAGAGCGGTATGCCCTGCCCTTTATTGGTGGTTGTGGTGTCTTTGGTTGCATAGCGATGGCGTTCACTCAGGGCTTTGAGTCTTTCTTTTCTCCTTGCAGATCTTGGCTTTGAAACACATGTGAGGTGGCGGCAACATTATAGAGATGAACTTTAGAACTGGTGGTTTTAGACGGCACAACGAAGTTTATCGTGGGTTTCAGGATTAGGAATTTGTCTAGAACCGGTCGTAGTCGGGAACGGACGTAAAATAGAACTTGGCCAAATACGATACTTAAGGACAATCACCCACTGTGCTGCTTAGTAGATTAGCTGTCTGAGATAAAGGCCATGAACGACAATGTGGTGTGTGATGAACTGCAAAGAGAATGATAGAAGGAGAGAGCGAAGTGAGGATTTGAATTGATCGTTTGGATTTATCGAACTTTGTAGTGTCCAAAAGAATATAGATTAAGATTTACAAAGTAAAAAAAGCCCTCCAGGCCTCCTACTGTAGAATGTCTACCTTCTCTTCCATTCCGCCTTTCGTGGACAAAATCATGTCCACCGACCCAACCAGAGATTTGATGGTTTCACTATCATCACGCCTCTCCATGGCCACGACTTGTCCTCGCAGCTGCTCAACTCAACCCCCCGGAAAAGCCCAGTCAATCCAGGCGTCTTGATTTGTATATCCATTCCGACCCTTTCCTTTGCGAGCTTTCTTATATCGCCCCTCTCCTTAAGCACTTGGGAGCACGTATTCTTGATTCCTCTCAACCGTCAATCTCTAGCTTTCTTATTGCTGCGCATTTGAACCCACGACGACACCAAACCGCCCTGCTACCCCAAAAATAGGCTACCTTTGCGGTGGACTAAGGAGGGGGCACCGCCAGAAAACACAGGATTACGCTGGCAGAAGGTCAAGGTTCCTTGAAGAATCGAATAATGATATGAGTGTAAAAAGAACCAGCGCGAGGGAAAGAAGCAAGAAGAACGCCGCGCTAGATGCATGACTTGCCTGTTTGCGCCCTTTTACGAACAAACCGGACAAGCCAAAAAGAAAGAAAAAACAGCATAATGCCATGAAGGTTTAGCGTGCCCGTCAACGTCAAACGCTTGCCCATACAGCCGTTGTAATCCAAGATTAAGGGAGTCAAGCGTTATGCGGCTGTCACAGAGGACAAACAACACTTATCATTGCTGCCATGGCGTTTGCTGTGCTGGCCTCGGAAACACCGGGATTGTCTCGAGCTGGTCGAGCCCGCCCCCTATAGGCGCTTGGTTATGCTGCCACCCCATACCGGTAGCATGGTTCACGAACGCACCCTGACGGAAAGGATTCGTGCCTGTTGGTGTTGCAAGAAGTGGGCCGCCAGCAGTGACGGGGCGCTGCTGCTGTTGTTGCTGAGCTGGCTGAGAGGCGGCGAAACCCCTCGCGAATGGATTCGTTCCGGTCGGCTGTGGTTGTTGCTGAGGAGCCGACTGGAAAGGGGAGTTGGCTGGAGGAGAAGCGAAGGGCTGAGCCGCTTGGGGAGATGCGCGAGCGAAGGGGTTGGTGGACTGCGCAGTCACGGGACGCTGCATTTGTTGCTGCTGCTGCTGCTGCTGCTGCTGCTGCTGGAAATGGGAGTTGTTCACTGGCAAGAATGGAGATCCCGTCTGCTGTTGGTTCATCATCATAGACTGTCGGAAAGGGTTGGTGACTTGCTGGGGTGGTTGAAGGCCTCCGAAGCCGGTGGGTGCGGCCGCCTGGAAATTCGCCATGGTCTGGTCTTGGGGAACAGGAGACAGCGAGGTGGCCTGGAAGGCCTGTTGTTGTGGAGAAAAGCCCCCATACCCAGCTCCCGTGAAAGCCTGCTGCATCGGTTGCTGAGGAGCCTGCTGAACTTGACCAAAAGGATCCATTGTTGGCTGCTGTTGTTGCTGCTGGAAAGCTTGTTGGAAGGCAGCCTGAGCCGCGAAATCGTTGGTCTGAAACGGCTGAGTGGGTTGAGGTTGGAAACTAGCCTGTGCCCATGGGTTTGCGCTCATTTGCATCTGTCCCTGAGGTTGCTGAAGCTGCGGTTGTGCCTGGACATTCATTTGCGTCTGGTTTTGCTCGATCGAGTCGAAGAAATCGATGAGGTTGGCATCCGCCGATTTGATAGGAATGGCCGGCCTTGATGACTCTTCTTTGGTGCTTGTGGTCGCCGCGGTAGTATTCTTGGTGGACGACTCCGCCTTAGGGAACTTCGATACCGAGGATGAGCCTCCCTTCTTCTTCGCCTCCAGCTCGGCCAAATACTGCCTCCGGTGAATCTCAAAGTCTGGATCCTCCAGGTAATCCTCCAGCTGTCGTCCAAGGTTTACGGGCGCGTGCTTGAGCTTGGGAACCTCAACTCTAGTATGGTGTTCGTATTGCCGAGCGACGCTGAGGTACTGTACCACGAAATCGGTTTGGCGGGCAAAGTTTCGGTAAATGTCCATGGCTCTCTCGGCGTCAGGCTTCGACATTTCAAAGAAGTGGCCTAGTACAAGTTAGCTTGGGGCAACGTCAGGTGAAGTTGGATAAAGTCTTACCGAGAATATTGATCATGGCCTGGTTTAAAGCTTGGAACAAGGCAAGAAGATCAAGAACCAAGAGCCTAAACACGGTAACCGTGATTTCGTTTTCTGGTTCGTTGTCCATGACCTGCTCATATGTATCAGCAACAAGCGTCAAAATCGAGCACTCGGAGAGCAACGTACATCGCATTTAAGCAAGGCAGTGAGCTGCTTCTGAACAGACTCTGTTTCTCGCAGCAAGCCTTTTTCTACTGAGAGCTTCTCTAACCGGTTCTCCCTGCCTCGGACCCAATCAATCTTGGTATCGCGGTATGCTCGGACCCTTTCGGTGAGATAATCGTAGTAATGACGGATGTTTCGGCCTTGTGTTTGAACTGCGCGACCATTTGTTAGCACTCTGAGCAAAGAGCAAGACAAGGTGAAAGAACCCAATGGATCCGGCACTGCTCACCATCCGATATCATGCCCAGACCCAACATGCTCCGGTGCTTAGCAAGATATGCCAGGGTAACATCTGGCGAACCCTCTCGGATCATGAGGTGTACCGTAATCAAACTCTTGAAGACAACGGTCCATGTCGAATCGCGCAACCGTGTCTGCAGTACCCTGAAGACCTCTCCCACTCCCGCCTCACCCGAATGTGTCGCCACAAGGATATGCTCAATGTACTTGGTCTTTGGAGGTGCGGCCTGTTGTCATGATCGATTGTGAGTATTAGCCGTTGGATCGCAAGGCTCTGAGATGACAGTGTAGGACAAGTAGGACCGGCTGACGAACCTTGATTTTGGTCGCACCCTTGACGGACTTTTCGAAGGAGCTTGCCATCTTCTTTAACTAGTCGCGACCAGAGGGCGACCTGCTCCTGGGTATTGAAGTGTGCTTGTAATGTCAACTTCGGCGCGCGAATTCCAGCTCGTCTGTTGCTCGTCGATTGTCGGTGTCGGAAGCGTATGGGGGGATTGAGTCGGAACGATTGTAAGATTAAATGATGTCGTAGGTAGGTTGTAACGAATGGCGGGCAGCCTAACAGTTGGTACTGCTGTTGTTGGGTTGGAGGTCGTGGCTGGGCGGCGTCTGGGCAGCGTCTGAACCTCGAGATTGCTGGAAGGACGTATCTACTCGGAATATCTGATGTGATGACGGAGGTGGTCGTTGGCCGGAGGAAGTCGATGGAGCGGGTGTGTAGATGCCTCGATACCGTGGCCTTGGACGTCGGATGAACTCAATGTAATCTATAAAGAAGTGCCCTGTGCAGCACTTTTGACTGGGCCCCCGAAACAGGTACTAGCGTAGGTTCCGTAGGCGGTTTAATGTGTAGGGGGGAACCGAGGGGGAACGGTAGGGGGGGAGAGCGGCAGCGGTAGGGTACATAGGGAGATGTTGCCAATGCACGATTGGAGATGCACGGGGACAGCTGCACGGGGGAACATGGAGACAACGGGAGAAGCGCAGAAGGTGACGGGCAGATTTCATGGCGGATACGCGCTAGGAGGAAATACAAGGGACATCATAACATGGGCTCTCCTCCAGTCTCCAGGCACAACAGTCCAGTTGATGAGTGATCTCCGACCGACAAACAACACCCGGATTCCCCTGTTCCACCTCTAATGTCGGGCGCCGGTCTGAATGGAACTACGTCGAGAATCTCGGCCGATTTGAAAAGTGTTGCACCCAAAAAATGTTGTGCATGACGGGACCCAAGGGTCTGGGTTGCGATGGGGCACCCTCAAATCTCGACCTGATGCGCTTGGGAGATCGCAAATCACGCTATTGCCCATCTTACACCATTTGGAGATTACTATATTCCACACTTGTGCGTACGCAAGCTGCCCATTCCAAGACAGTCATACTAGGTAGCGATAGGCAAGTGCGGTAGAGTACGACATGACATCAGTGCCGGTCTCGTCTTGAGCCAGCTTCAATGGCCCCCAATTTGCCTGGGGAAACCACCATGCTGCCTGACGAGAACCCCGCACATGTATACCTATCCACGACGGACAGCCGTCTCCATCGGCATCAACGTCTTACCTTTGTTCCCAAAAACTCGTAACAGTGAGTGGTAGGGCATTGGAGATGAGAATCCAAGGGAGAATTCCGAGCCAAACTTGAGGCAGCTGGTCAATGACCGGAGGGCAGAGGAAAAGACGAAAAGAGAAGATTGGAAAACAAGAACGCCTTCATTCAAATAGAATCAGAGTGCCGTGTTGGCGTCCGATGAGTAACAAGGTCGGTGTGCCGAACGCTTATTTCAAAATTCCCAACATCCCATCACTAACGAACCACTTAAGCCCCGTGAGGGGAGAGTTCGAAAGGTCAGGGAAGAGGAAGCTTCATCATATTAACACCTGAGCTTTCATCATATTGTTTTGAATGGAAGGGTCATGAAGAAAAAAAGAAGAAATTTCTCAAAAACCGGCGCGCGGCAGAGCTTTTTGTTCTCGCCGGTGCGGGCGTGACTGGGCCCCACTCGAAATTTCGAACCGTCCCGCTCGGGCCAGCAATCTGCCGACCAACGAGCAGCGAGCGGCGGCAACATTATGTGGGGCCGCTCAAACGCGGGAGCCTCCGGCAACGAGCTGCTATCAAAGCTCGGACCAACTTACCACTTTCCAGCTCAACCCTCACACGCCTCGTCCACAGTCAACCCTAGACCGGGGCTCACACCACCAACAACCCCGTTCACGATGGAGCTCTCTCTACCAGAAGCGGAAGACAGGAAGTCGACAAAAGTCGACAACATCAGACTGTCATGGCTCAACCTCGCGTCTCCATGAGACGGCTCTGTAGACTGATACCGTCTCAGAACTCGAGGCTCTACACTAGCCGCACAATCCCTCAATGGCAGTCGCTTAAATGCCTGCCCCGGAACTCGCAACGCCTGCTTCACACTTCCTCAGCTCTTGCTTCCCCATCGGCTGATAAAGTGTCTGCCGGCCAAAAAACTTCGGGAGGAATGGGCACAGTACAGTAGGTAGTGCCGTGTTATACTATGCTGTACCCGAGCTTGGCTGATGCAAGCCAGGCCAATTTCCCAGTGCGTCCAAAGCCGCTGACTTCGTCGAGGGCACCAGGGTCACCGTCCATGGTTTCCTACAGAGACGGAGAGTCAAGAGCTCAAAGTTGGTCTTTGCCGACATCCAGGTTGAGAATGGTCCTTCGGTGCAAGTCACGGCCACGTTCAAGGAGGATGGGAGCCCAGAGCAGTTGGCCACCAAGGCCCTGAGGGCAGTCCCTTTGTACAGTCCCGTGTGCGTGACCGGAACTGTCGCCCAGCTCAACGGCAGTCGTGTCGATTTGAATCTCGACGCCATTCAACCTCTCAATGCCTTTCCCAAAGACATCATCGTCTCCGAGGGCGTTCAGTTCCCTGCCTCTGCCAGGCATCTCCAAATCCGCTTCTCAGACCCCCTCCGCTCTCGACTGCTGGCTCGTCCCCAGATCGGCTTCCAACTCCGGAAGACACTCAACGATCTTGACTTTACCGAGGTGGAAACACCCATTCTCTTCAAGTCCACTCCTGAGGGAGCAAGGGAGTTCTTGGTTCCTACCAGACGTCGCGGTCTAGCCTATGCTTTGCCCCAAAGTCCGCAGCAATACAAGCAGATCCTCATGTCGAGTGGTATTCGTGGATACTACCAGTTTGCCCGCTGCTTCCGTGATGAGGATTTGAGAGCCGATCGGCAGCCCGAGTTCACCCAGGTATGTCCCTACTCTCCATTACCTATCTTCACGCTAATACGTGACATAGCTTGATATGGAAATGGGCTTTGCCACGGGTGAGGATGTCATGCGCACTGTCGAGACTCTCGTCACCGAGTTGCTCCCTGCTCTGAATGCCCAGTTCAACATCGTGAAAAGCGGTGATGATATCTATCCTGTACCCAAGCGCGGCCTGAATAATGGCGAATCGATCGAGGATGGTGACATAAAATGGCCTGAGCCTACCGCCCCTTTCCTTCGGCTCACATACGACGAGGCCATGACAAGGTTCGGCATCGACAAGCCCGACCTTCGGATTCCCTTCGAGGTACGTCAACCCACTTTAGATCCGATACTCGAGCTATCTAACAATGAGTCCAGTTTCACCGTGTCGAGCATATCCTGCCCGCCCAGTTCGTTTCCATGATCACGCATACCGAACAGCCTATCGTTGAAGTCTTCCGCATCCGTCCCCAACTCGACGGGGAAATCACCACCCCCGGTACCATTGCCGAGTTCGTCGACAAACTCATGGACCAACTCCCCAAGCCCCTTGCCAAGAATCCCGACGGAGCTCCGGCCGCTCTAATGTTCAACTCCAAGAAGCCTCTCTGCGGCCTCTCCTCCCTTGGCTTCGAGGGCTTCGACGCCCTCACCAGCATGGAAGAATTCTCCGACCTTGAAGACGGTGACGTGCTCGTCTTCCAGGCGCGCAAAAACGCTCCCTTCCAAGGCGAAGGCTCCACGGCCCTCGGCGTCGCCCGCACCCACTTCTACCACTCCTTCGTATCCGCCGGTCTCCTTCCACGCAGCTTCGACCTCAAGTTCCTCTGGGTCGTTAACTTTCCCATGTTCACTCCTGACGACGGCATCGACCCCGGCCAGGGCGGCCAAGCCGGGTTCAAGGCCACCCACCACCCCTTCACGGCGCCGCTTACGGAAGACGATGTCGAGCTGCTCGCCACCGACCCACTCAAGGCGCGCGCTGATCACTATGACCTCGTCGTCAATGGTGTCGAGCTCGGCGGTGGCAGCCGCCGTATTCATCTGTCTTCCATGCAGGAGTACGTGATGCGCAACATCCTCAAGATGACGGATGCGGGTCTGGCCCAATTCTCGCACCTGCTCGAGGCGTTGCGCGCGGGCTGTCCGCCGCATGCCGGGTTCGCGCTGGGCTTCGACAGGCTGGTTGCTGTCCTGACGCACACGGATTCCGTGAGGGACGTAATCGCTTTCCCTAAGAGCATGAAGGGAGAGGATCTGACAGTCAAGAGTCCCAGCAGGATGACCACTCAGCAGTTGGAGACTTACCACTTGGCGATCGCGAAGAAGGAAGAGGTGAAAAAGCAGGACGTTTGAGAAAACAGATACCTGTGAGCTGAGAAGGGGAAGGTGCTGCAGCCCCTATGTGCTCACTGCTTTGACCTGCGGTCGAGCCCGATGGCTTCACGGACAATGTGCTGCCCTGTACATTAAATGCAAGATCAAGCTTGGTATGGTACCGTGCATCCGCACCCTCGGTCTCGCAACGCTCACCTGACATCCTACCGTCAGCAAGACTGGGCTGACTTGACTCACTTCTTGACACACTTACCAGAAGCCGCATTGATTGACAAACAGCGGACTTTGAATTCTCCGAACATGCTCACTGTTTTCATCTCCAACCATGCAAACTAGAGTACGACAGAGTTGAATGAACTGAGAAGTCGTGGTTTAGAAGGGATCCACGCAGTTTGGTCCCCAATTTCTACCTAAAGGTCACTCATGGAGCAACTCATGGGTCCCAGCATTCTGAGATATCGTATGATAATGAAATAACTGGTTCATCAGAGACACTGAAGATTGGCAGATGCAGCTTGGGATAAAGACCGTGAACCATCATGCTCAGCTAACCACCCATCCTAGGTAATTGGCACTGAAACCAATTTTCTCATATTTTGCTCAGGGGTCTGAGGACCGTGAGATGATCAAGGCCACTCTGATGAATACCACTGCACAACACGGAAAGACATCGTCAAGCCACCACGAAGATCAACAGTGAGGGAACCTGAGATCAAGTTCAAAGGCTTCGGGGGGAAAGCCAAAGACTCTGAGAGTAAGTGCAGACCCAGACAACAAGTCCACTTCTAGAGGAACCATGAAATGTGAGAATGCCCCTGTTTTCATACTCAAACTACCTCATTAGTATTACACAGAGCCATTCCCACTTTTTTCCCTGTGCCCCGCGTGTACCCCTCCTTCTTATGCTCATTACCCAATTCCAAACATTACCTCCTCTGCTCTATTACAGTCTGGGGATAGGCAGATCCAAACGAGCGTGTCCAACCCATGTATCCATCTCTTATACAAACCTGAAAGCAAAAAGCACGGGTAACCAAAGAGAGACGACAGTTGGAAAAAACAAAAGCCAACTCGTTACGAGCATGTCATTCGTCCTCACATGTACAACCCTTTCCTTCCCCAAGTCTAACAAGGCCTGAGAGATAACTGGTTGATAAAATTAACAACTTTGCCGTTGTCAGAAACCGAGTACCAAAGAGCCATGATATGGATATTGTGGTTGTGCCCACAGCCCAGGCACCGGTTCCGCAAGAGGAAAAAGGCAAAGTCCCATTAGACTGTCAACCAGTCAATGTGTACTTTTTTGTCCGTCGAGAGCAAGAGAGAGCTTTGGGAAGTTTTGGTCGGCCAGCTTGCCATCGATCGATGTCTGAATTCTGCTACCCTCCTTTGTCGTGTCAGGGGTAAAGTCGACAAGCTGAAGATGATGAAAGAGCCCTGATGTCACACAACTCTTTCACCAGCAATGTCATCCCCGAAAGCCCACCCATCCCTCCTCTTTCACACAGACCAAATCAACCTACAGCTTCATTTAAAGCTGCAAGACCATCAGCCCAGCAAGACCAACAGCCAATGCAATCTTGGCATCGACCTTGTAGCCAGCCGCGGCAGCAATCTGGACATCCGCGAATCCATCGCGGTTCTTGCCGTCCGCACCACCAGCGCCGGTGGCCTCGGCAGCAGGGTGACCAGTGGGCTTGGTCCAGCCGCCATGGCCGCCATAAGCACCGTAGCCGGTTCCCCAAACAGCACCATTTCCAGCGGCGGCACTGGCAGCGTCACCTTCAGGGCAGGGTTCCTCGTCTCCTCCCTTTCCATCTTGCTCGCCACCAGCGGCGCCGGCGGTGGCTGTGGCTTTGGGCCAAGCGGCGGACTGGCCGGCATCATAGCCCTCACCCTCGCCGTCATCCTGGCCGTCGTCGCCAGCGTTATCCTCGTTGTTATCAGCGCCCTTGGACGGAGCGGCGGACTCGGAGGCAGCACCGGAGGAAGCGGCACCAGATGAAGCGACGTTATTCTTCTTGGCAGACTCAGTGACAGTGGGAGTCGCGGTCTCGGTAGCGGTGGTGGTAGCGGTAGCAGTGGCCGTGACAGAAACGGACTCGGTAGCTGTGGCCGTAGCAGTGACAGTAGCAGACTCAGTAGCCTTGGCGGTGACGGTAGCAGAGACGGTAGCAGACACAGTCACGGACTTGGCTTCGCCCTTGACGGTTGCGGTTGAGACGGGACCGCCGGAGGACTTGGCGGCGGAGGACTTAGTATGAGAAGACTTAGCAGCCTTGTCGGCGGCGGAGGACTTGGCAGCAGCGGTGGAAGCGGCCTTGTTGGCAGCCGAAGACTTAGCAGCAGCAGTGGAAGCGGCCTTGTCAGCAGCACCCGAGGACTTGGCAGCAGCGGCCTTGTCGGTGGAGGCGGCGTGGGTAGAAGCGGCCTTGTTCTTCCCGGTGGAAGCGGCCTTGTTATCAGCACCACTCGACTTGGCCTTGTCAGCGGCGGTGGTCTTAGCAGGAGCAGCAGTCGAGCTAGCTACGGAAGCGGCCTTGCCAGCAGCGCTGGAGACAGCAGCCTCCTCGGAAGAGAGTGCGGCGGCCTCGGACGAGACGGAGGCGGCGGCGGCGGCAACACTGGCGGATGCGGCCTTGACAGATGCTGAGGCGGCCTTGTTGGCCGAGTTGGCTTTGTCGTCGGCGCCGACGGTGCTGGCTGCTCCGCGCCTGTTGATCGCAGCATCGGTTACGACCTCGATGACTTCCTCGACGACTTCAACATCGTCCTGAGGGAAACGCTTGCGCTGCGGGTCAACCTCCACGACATCAACCTCCACGACGACGTCGACATCGTCTTGAGGAAAGCGCTTCTGGATCTGAAAGCCGCGCTCGTCAACCTCCACGACGTCGACCTCCACGACGACGTCGACATTGTCTTGAGGAAAACGCTTCTGGATCTGAAAGCCGCGCTCGTCAACCTCCACGACGTCGACCTCCTCGACGACGTCGACGTCGTCCTGGCGGGCGTAGACGGAGCGAGGGACAGAGAAAGCAGATACCCTATTGTTTCTACATGTTAGCAAGAGTCGAAGCACGAGCAAGAGGGTGGTTTGGTGTGAGAGACGTACATTCTGTGGAAGAGACTGACTTCCTCAGTGTTTCTTTCGCTAATGCCCGCCTCTCTGTTGAGCAAAGCGGAACCTGAGACGTTGAGGACTAAGGCGGCCATGACCAAAGAGGTCCTTAAGGTGTTGGAACGCATGGCTGCTACGGTCTTGTCGAGGTGGCAGTTATGCTGGCGGGGTCGGCAAAGGGAGGTCTAAACGATCGGAAGCACCGAAGTTGGCGCCGCCAATAAAAAGAAGAAGCGAGTGAAATTGAGGCTCTGACGCTAAAGAATTTCGCTGAGGAATCAACTTTGAAACGATGGTTTATCTACAAGATGCTTGAGCAAAGTAGATGTTGAGCGTGATGATCAACAGACATGGAGACTGGCTCTTGGGAGGGAGGGAGGGAACGGCTTAAGTAAGGTATGGGAAAATCACAAGCTTTCTCGGACAATGTGAGATAACTGCCATCTTCCTTCAGATTTCAACTGTGAAAGGCGAGACTCGCTCAGTCGGGCCTAACAAAACACGCGGGAGTGGCCGGGGTTGTGCATTGCAGGTGCTTCTCTGTCTTCCTGGCCGATCCAAGCGATCGGAGGCTCATCGAGTGAGCGCTGTACTTTTCCCTAAACACATTTGTCATACCGAATAAACTCAGGAAATTGGCAATACACCACGGTGGGAAAACCACCTGTTTCTGCCCGAATAAGCACAGTTCTGTAAGGCTTAAGTCCGGCTTCCTGCACTAAAATGTATACCTTATATATTAACGTGGAGGGCAATGTCGCTGGTCGGGGGCTTGTCAACCCGGCCTTTTGTATTATCCTTTTTGCCGGGGGGAATTTTGTGTTTCAACCGCAGCAAAATCTTAAACACGTTAGACGTATACAGGGCACATTTTGTATGCTACCTCCTGTGCTTACACTGTTGGGCGCTCTAAGAGGGAAGGTGTATTGCCGATTTTCCGAGTTTATTCGGTGTGTCACCCGGCCCGTGACTGCAAAGCGTTCCCGGTCGAGAAAGAACATGATATCAGAGCACAGCCAAGCCGCAACGAGGAAGCAGTTCATGGGTGAGTGAGTGGATGAGTGCCTCAACCGCAAGTGGCCCGATTTTCGATGCTCGGTAGAATTCGTCAACGCCATCACAGCTTTTCTCAGCCACATGAGCTTTGTTCAGAGGAGGCATGACATCCGATAGCGATTTCGCGCAACTCAGGTGCTTGTCCCGGTGACCATGAGAAAGGAGACGGGCAGTCAGGTGCCGTAGAAACTCGGGAGATTGGCAGAAGAGATTCCCTCTTTGAGCGCCGGGCAGGGCATAGAAAGCTTCCAGCTGTATGCTCCGTAAGCCAGCATACCTGTAGGTAGGTATGTGTCTATCCAGTTGGTGAAAACTGAAAGGTCATTACCCTCAACGTTACACCTTAGCTTACGCGCTTTTGAATAACAAATCTCCCTCCTGCCAGGCGCTCAAAGAGGGAATATTTTTTTGCCAATTTCCCGAGTCTCTACAGTATTCCCTGAATCCCCTCACCGCGACCAGAGTTTGAGCGCTGAGGGCCCAATACTTCATCCATCACCGAGGACACTTGTCAACCGTAGAGGTTAAACTCAAGAAATCAAGGATTCATCAGCTGTTTTTGACAGCCGTCAAGGACCATGTATGTGGTTCTGAGTGCTTTTCACTCTAACTGCAAATGAACCTGAAAATGCGGACTGCTCATCATCGGAATTCAACCATGTCTTCCGCCAAAGCTCCATGATGTAAGGCTCGTTTGAGAAACAACTCAGACACTCTGCAAGTAACCAGGACCTGTCGATCACACAAACTTCCCGTCCTCTCACTTAGACCACTTCATTCAGTGGCTTCTTCTCCTCCTCTTTCGGCTGTCGCTTCTTCGGCTTCAGATTTGCGGCCGTGGTAAAATCAGTATCAATATCGGATTTCAAAGTGGCACTTGCTTTCCGGGCTGCATACATCTAGCGTTCACTGCAGATGTAAGACCGAGAAGTAAGGTACCTCTAGACCCATGTGAACGTGATATGCATGCAGATAAAGTAGAAATGGTGTCCGGCATGCAAAAAGGAGGGCATTTCAAGCACACATACGGGCCCATTCGCCCGATCGGGTGACCCAATTCACCGACTTCCGGGGATTAGAGAAGCAAAAGGGCGTCAATGAGGCTTTGACGATGATTTGTAACCCGCCGAGCAAGCGCAATGAACTGTCGATGGAAGGTGTTGAGAACTTCTTAAATCGCCCGTTCCGGATGGTGACCCAAACGAGATGTCCAACCATAACACTCCTGACTCACAGTACCTGCTCCTGAGGCGTACTAGCACATGACATACATGCATGAAGGGACGGCACGAATCGTGGAGATAAGAGTTTGATCAGCATTGCATGGTACGACTAAAGCAGGGTGTAGGAAAGACGTGACGATGCAACTAACATGCTTGTTGTTTGCGCCACTGCAGGCACCGTACCGGACCTAGTAAACCCGATCGTCGGATTTACCCTTTTTTTTTTTTTTTTTTTTTTTGAAACGTTACCGTTGGCAGTCACGAGGATGGCGACATCTCAAGGACCTAGGTAGGTAACATTCCATTCCTTCAAGTCAACTGCCTCTTTATACCGTACAACCCTAGAGGTACCTCTGGAGGTAGGTAGAGGTACGCAACACTAAGGCAATCTTTTTCTCGTCTTTTGAACCTGGGCGGGACGGGAGTCTTCGTGATCAAAAGTGGAAGTCTCGTCAATCGCAGGCAACTTGAAGTCCACAGAATGCAACTGAAGCACTGCAGTGGACGGTGAAGTCTGGGGGCCCAAAAAGTGGAAGTTTCGACAGCAGTATGCTTGATTGCCCGGCCAGAGCAAGTGGCTGACTGTGCCTTGCTGACTCGGAAGCATGGATGGAATCCATCCTTGTTCTGTGTGTGTGTCTTTCAAGGAGTACCTCCTCTCAACTCCTGTTAAAGAGGCTAGTAGAGCGATCAAATTTGACATAGGTAGCCAAGCACACCGGCCTCACTAACAGATCCCGAATGAGGTACTTGCCCCATGGTCTAAACTAAGTGGCCTGAGTTCAAGCGTTCACTGAGTGCCACTGCAGTGTCCAAGTCGACGTTCGAACGCGGCGAAAAAAGGGCAAGAGCGGCCCAGAGAGATTTCCATTGGTTTCATTGAAGAACTGCGGCAGGAACCAACCGAGGGAGGGGCGACCACGGGTGGACCACTGGCAGACTCAAGTGTGCAGCTGAGACCTGGCGGGATGGAAAGAGCAAGCGGAGAACGAGTGTCAACTTGGAAAGCCAAGTTGCAAACGACTGGAGAACTCTGAGTTTAAGGGAAAGCGCAGGGAGCCTTTGAGACGTCACCATCTGGGAAGGAAGCGACCTCCTAAATCCGTCTCATTCAAGTTGTCTCAAGATTTCTGGCCAATCAGAAGACCTCCTCAACCGTCTAGCCTAGATGCCTTCCGCGTTCTTCGGAGGCCACGGTAACTTAAAAGGTCCATTGGGTTCATAGAGGTAGCGTCCCAAAAAGTGGTTGTGGTCGCTTAGTGTAGCATGTAAAATAAAGCCAACCCCTTCGGGTTCCGAAGTTGGACATGGCGACTTCCATTACCAGCGGCCTCAACATCACAACCGATGAGCTCGTGCACTCGTGCGCCCAGCGATAAATGAAAGTCTTGACATTGTAAAACTGGAACACTGTTATAATAGGTAACTTAATATCTGCTCCGTTGTTCGTAGTATGATTGATCCCAAGCCAAGCTCGCTTTTCAAGGCATGCCGAGCTTGAAATGCCCGTGCTTCTCCTCGATGTTGATGCAGAACCGTTGTCTGCACGTGGCTGAACGTTGGATCAACTAAACTACAAACAAACGGCCAAAAATGGTGCCAAATGCAGCTGCGTAGAGCAGGTTAGAGATGCTGAACTCGAGTCTGCCACTGCCTCCCTGTACGGGAGACGAGCCCGAACCCGAGGGGGACTCCCACGACAGGGTCCAGCTGGATGTCCATGCTCCTTCCTTGAAGTTGTCCTGCAACTCGGTCACCGAGAGGAACTTGCCCTCAGAGTCGTAGGACCAGGAAGATGATTCGAGCTTATCTCCATCAAGAGAGACACTCAAAGGTGCGTTGGCCACTCCAAGGACCGTGACGTTAGCCAGTGAATTCTGGTCAAGGTACTTGCCCTGAGGTGTCACCTGGAGTGAGTTCTTCTCAACCATGAACTAAAAGCAGTCATAGTCTGTTAGCATTCTTGACCGTCTTGCATAAAGGGAGTGGCAAGCCACCATATAAGGACGGGGAAACTCACATCAACCCACTTCACATTCTCGCCAGTCTCCAAGCTCTCACCATCATCCAGGTGCAAAGTCCCATTCGCCTTGCCCTCGCCATCAAGTGCAACAATAACGCTCCACTCATTCTGTCTGCTCTCTGTCGTGGTCATTCCCGGCTCCTGCACTGGGATAACATAGCCACCCCTCAGATAAACCGGGATGTGTCCTAGAGGCGCATCGATTGTCACATTCTGACCAGACTGCACACCTTCACTGGCTGAGTGGTAAGTATACCAATCGTACCAGACGGTCCCGTCGACAACACCAGGGAATACGCCGTCCACTGTAGTGGCACCTTGAACCAGACATGGCGTAACCATCACGGCACTACCCAGCATAAACTGGCGATCCGCATTCGCGAGCCACGGCTCTTGGGGGAATTCCCATGAGAGTGCACGCATGACTGTGCTTCCAGATAGACTGGCTTGGGTCATAAGAGTGTACATGTACGGGAGCAAGAGATATCGGATCCTCATCGCCTTCTTGGACGCATCGATCACGGAGCTCCATACGTAGGGCTCCTGGCTGATGGCGCCGCGGACGTTGTGGTTGCGGTAGAAGGGGAAGAAGGCGCTGAGCTGCATCCAACGTGAGCACAGTTCGTTGTCGGCATTGCCACTGAAGCCGCAGGTGTCTACACCGAACATAGGGAACCCGAAAATGGAGAAGGACAGGGCCTGGGGAATGCTGAAGTACAAATATGCCCATAGAGAATAGTTATCACCGCCCCAGTGACCAGCCCATTTTCCGGAACCCGCAAAAGTGCTGCGGCCGATGATGAAAGGACGTTTTCCCTCGAACACTTTGAGGAGTGCTTCGTAGGTTGCGTGGAGGATTTGATGGCCGTACAGGTTGTGGAAGTCATAGTCAACTGTGCCACCATGATGGGTACCATTGGGACTAAGAGCATGAGTACCGATGTCACCGTGGAAGTTGTTGATGACATATGGTGGGTAGTTAATATTGCGGGATCCAGGAGTCGGTGTCGTCCTGAGGTAAGAGGCAGTGCTAATGGTACTGGCTGTGGTCGTGGCATCTGGGTACTGCGTTCTGTGAACAGATGTTGCAGAGGATGCCTCACTGGCGTTGGTCTTTTCGAAACCCTCCGGATAATCGAGAACAAGAGCACCTGGCTGCCGGAAGACCCAGGGTGGATGAACAGGATTGAGCGTCAGGTTGCCCGTGCCACAGCTTCCAATGCAGAAAGACGCGACCTCGTTCATATCAATCCAGATGCCGTCGAAAGCGACCTTCTTGTAGTACCTAACAAACTCGTCAATCCACCAGCTTACGGTACCTGTACCATTGAGGGCAGCACCAATCCAGTCCGGGAATACGGTATATCCAGGCCATACCGCACCGATATAAAGCGAACCATCGGGGTTCATGATGAAAGCATCAGCTTCGAGTCCGCGATGGTAAGGTTCGTAATCATCTTCAGGCTTGTCAGGATTTGGAACATAGATAGCCGAGTCGACGATGGGCACATAGTGCTGGTGGTTCTTATGGAGCTCCTCGAGGAACTTGGCACCCTCTTCATAGCTGAACTGATCAGGGTCGTTTTCAAAATCACGATAACCCTTCATGTAGTCGATGTCGGCTTCAAAAAGTCAGCAAAATTACAGGACAAAGAAGCTACTAGCGCAAAACGCAATGGAGTATACTCACTCCAGATTGTCTCCAGTGGAATCTCAAACTTGCGGAAGTTGTCAACCACATCCTTGACAACAGTCCAGTTTGAGTATCCCCAGCGGCATTGGTGGAAGCCAAGAGTCCAGTACTGCTGCATTGCAGGAAGTCCAACCGTACTGAGCTGGTAGGACTTGATGATATCCTGAGCCGAAGGTCCCTCAAAGAAGTACAAGTCGATGCTCCCGCCGAGAGTCCTCCAGGTGATACCCTCAGGTCGAAGGAGCACTTCCTGCGCATGAGCATTGCGAAGGAAGACACCGTTCGTGTACGAAACGTATTTGGCGTTCTTGTCTGTCGGATTAGAAACGTAGCTTAACCTTCCAGACTCGTCCTTGGTAAAGTATCTGGTGTCAAGATAGATGGGATGGTTGCCGTAGATGTTGGCATCGAGGTTGTCACCCACATCCCCAGCGAACAGCGTACCTGGAAATGGTGTCAATCAAATTGCAGGTATTGGTACAAAATCGTGTTAGGAGGGAGACTCACGTGTAAGATTGTTTCCCAGTCGAAAGCCATGCATGACCTCACCAAGACCATACAAGTTGTAACTCTCGGGCAAAGAGGAGCCAAACTCAATAAACTGATCCTCGTAAACAATTTTACGACCTTCAGTCGTGAACAGAACCTCTCCAGTCTCCTTGCGCTTCACAGTGAAGGAGAATGTGGGCTCATTCGACCACGAGATTGTCAGCTTGCTTTCAGCCTCGTTAACATCAGGTTCGGCTTGTGGGCGGGGCACAAGCACTTCGGGAAGAATGAACCAAGTTTCATTATGAGGGCCGATGTAGCGAGGTTGAATTTGAACGTTGAGACGGTTGTCCGCCTGAAATTCAACAGTGAGCTTCAGTTCCTCGATGTCGTTGCCATAGACGTTGCAAGCAGGGCCAGCGAGAGACAAGTCCGCCGTGAGTCCTTTCTTTGTCGTTTGTACATTAGCAGCTTTGTATCCTGGACAAACTCTCTGAGCATCAACTGCTTGCGGGTCGAAGATGTTAGGCAAGACATTCGGTCCGATGTCAGCTGAAGCTGGAAAGGTGAACATAGGGCCATCCCCCGCCGCCGTCGCGCTCAGCACACCAGGTCCAGATGACGTTGCAGTCACAGACTCATGTTGAGCGGATGTCCATTGGGGGACGAGAGCCGCGAGGAGTAAGAAGGAAGCCGAAGTGAAGACGACCATGACGAAGAAGCCCGGATTCCAGGTCCCCCAGATTTGCTTCACTCCACGTCCACGTCGACCTTGGGATACGAAGAAGATGCCCAACAGACAAAACAAAAAGGTGGAAAGGCCCAGGTAGGTCGATGCCGTTAAATTGTCACCGAAGGAACCCTCGAGCTGGTAGACCCCGTCGAAGTCAAGGAAGGATTTCGGTCCTAGTCGTGTGCCGAAATATCCTGAGCCTGGGTTGTTGTTCCGTCTATCCTCCGTGTCCGCGTAGACTGGATTGGTGAAGAGTAACTGAGCGAACAAGACTGCTGCTGGGAGAGTGTATTTAAGCGTCCAAAACTGGTAAAGTAGCTATCCCAAAGTTGGTCAACTCAGACCCTTGCTGCTCAGAAACGAGAGAAGAAAATGGGGCAGTTGGAATTTGGGGAAAAGATGTAAACATGCGAGAGATTGGATATCGTCATGCCATCTGCGGATGCCCGACTGGGAAAGGAAAGCGGGACTTACCTTGACAATGACACGATCCCCGCGCCCAAGGTAGCTTCCGTTGGCCGGCACGGTAGTAGCATCCGTACAAGTATGCGCTTTCTCCTGGGGCAGCAGTCGCGCTTGCAACCGCGAGCCGTATGTTTGTGTCGTCCATTTCAGTTCTGGTGTCGTACCTGTCTCCAGTTGTGATCCTCCACAGGAACACAAACGGGCCGAAACGGCATGCTCGATCTTCGCCGGACGCATCATTGTCGGACCCGATCGACGTTGCTTCACGCAGGTTTGCGGGCACCAATCAATAATGGGCAGTCGTTAAAGCTAAACCAGGCTCCCGGGGCGGCTGCCTTGGTTGGACGGAAACCTGTATGCCGGCGTAGTTGGTAAGGTAACAAACGTCTCGTTAGGAGAGGTATCCGGGGCGGTAGTTGTTGCTGAGGATGACCGCAGGAGCGCGACTGTATCAGTGCTTATAATGAGATCGTTTGGTTGAGAGCAAGTGCGGCCGTCGGCTGACACGCCCAGTTTTGCGTTGTAGAGGTAAAACTGTTTAGGAGAAAAAGAGGCTTTGATGGTCAGTCATGGTAAAAACACCTATGGTCGAGGCTGCGATCTCGAGGTTGAGAAAATGCAATTCGGGGCCAGGAACTATAAGAATAAAAGTTAAGGTTTCCAGTGGGAGTCGTCTGTGAATTGAATAGATTGAAGATAATACAAGCTGGGAAGGAACGAGGCGCTGGGTCGAAGCAAGTCGTGAAGCAGGACTAGCGGGAACGAAATGACCACAGAAGCCCCGAATGACCTACCAAATACCTCAAGGCTACGCAATGGCTTTCTCTGTACTACCCGAAATCCCAGGTGCCACAAAGTGCGAAGTTCCAGACCTAGCTGTGTACCCCATCTCAACCTCGAATTGAGTTCGGATGATCCAGATCGGATGAGATGAATCTAGGCAGCATCAGCCGACCAACATTTGAAGGTGGAATATGGATAGGTATCAAACATCCGCCAACACAGGGCCACATGCCCGTCTCCTGCCGTCCCCTTATATACTCCGCCCTTGATGTTGCATCGTCCTCCCTCAGTAAATGTAGGTACCAGTCGTACTGATCTTCGTCGTTGGTCATTCGTACCGTTAAAGGTTAAACGAAGACAGTGTTGCGTGGTTTCGCCAAAACGTGATGACCATCCCGTCAGCATCACTGCATGGTTACTTGGGTATTCCGTTCGGGGTAGCAGCCTCAAACTTCCATCAAGCACATTCCGCTCGTCTGTGACACGAACCGTCTAAATTGCACAATGAGGTACATGTGCATAGATGTGTCACGTCTCCATCAGAATGATGCCACGTTGTTCGAAGGAGTCGTTGTTCTCTGTAAGAGATATAAAAACCAGCTCGCGCCACCAAGAGCGCCATCATCTTTGATTCCTACACAAACCCTATCAGCGCCCAGGACTGCACCATGTACACCGGTAAACTTGCCCATAACTAACAATGTGCGAACAGACGTCCTGAAAAGCATATGATGGGCGTCATCCAAGGTCATTGTCCAATGAATGCGGCCTGCAAGGCAGAAGGCAGAAAATCGAATCAAGAGCTACAGAGCCCCAAAGCCATGCCACCGAGAACCAACAACAAATGTTCAGCATAATAATCAAACAGTTGATACCCAAGATAATTTTCCCAAATCCAAAAAGCTCCAAAACTCCAACACGCTAACTCCGTCGCTGATATCCAGAAAGCTCGAGGCATATAGTGGCCCAAAAAGCGACCGGCGGGGTCCCCACCTTACAAGCGCGATATTTCAACAAGAAGACGCTAATAGCTGAGATCGATGTTCCCAAGAGACGCCACAAGCTTATCGTCTTGTGACGTCGACGTGGTATTGCTCCCGCCCGTATCGGTTTGAGACGTGCTCGCGTTGCTAGTGCGTGACTGTGATTGCTGAAGTTCCACTTGTGGTTGTTGTTGATGCTGCTGTTGCGTTGGTGGTATGCCGCTTTCGGAGAAGCCAAAGTCTCGCATCTGCTGAAAACTCCAACTCGGTTCGAAGCGCCTGCTGTGCCATGCGTGGTCAACTCTCTCGTACATCTCGTCGATCTGCTCCAGACTGATCTTGCTAGTCTCATATACCATGCACCATACAAAGCCGACCGCCACTATACAAAACGCCCCCCATACGAAGAAAACTTTGGAGCCGAGATCTATCGAGCTTTCGTGACCCGCCGCGCTGTTTGTTTGCATATATGGAGTGCCGTAGGCAATGCCGAAGTTGAGGAGCCAGTTGGATGCCGTGGATATCGACATGGACTTGGCTCTGACCTTCAGCGGGTAGATTTCGGAGGTGACAACCCATACGACCGGGCCCCAGGATGCCGCAAAGAAAAAGATGTATATCGCAACCAAAGGTGATGAGAACCTTGTTTTGTATTGTTACGTTGTTGGAGCCGTTGGCCGTTGCATAGGCGGCGATCAGCAGCTGGCAGATGGCCATGCCGATGGCACCCACCATCAGAAGTCGACGCCGACCCCATGATTCGACCACAAACAGTCCGGGTATGGTCGATGCCGTGTTGATGATTTGCATGATGAGAGAGATCTTGAAGGGGTTTCCGACGCCAGCGTTATTGAAAAAGGTGGTTCCATAATACATGATAAAGTTCACGCCGGTGAGCTGTTGTAGCATTTGCAGACAGCAACCGGTGAACGTGCGACGGCCAAGGTGAGGTTCGCCGAAGAGAATGTCCTTGTAAGAATCAGGTCCCAGCGCCATCTCATATTGGTGGTTTGCTTCGATTTCGGCAAGCTCCTCGACCAAAGCAGGGTGGGTAATGTCCAGTCGACGTAGACGACTGAGAGAAAGCGCAGCGGCGTTCTTGTCTCCACGTTTGATGAGGTAACGAGGAGTTTCGGGTAGCACGGTCAAACCCAGGGCCAAGACGCAGGCCCAAGTTAGCTGAAGTCCTATTGGTACCCGGTAGGCAGCAGCTGACTTTAATTGGTATGTGAGGATGTTGACCACGGCAGCGGCAAGAAGCCCCATGGTGATGGAGAGTTGGTATGTGCACACTAGTGTTCCTCGAATCCACTTGGGTGCCATCTCGGACTGGTATAAGGGGACAAGTACTGAGACAATGCCGACACCAACACCGGCAACCGTCCTATATCGTCAAGTTAGCCCAAGAACGAGCCACCACCATTGCCTAGGGGTAGAAGTACGCACCTTCCCGCCACCAACAGACCAATATTATATGCACAAACTTGCAGGATGGCGCCGATGACGAAGATTCCGATGGCGCCAATAAGGGACCGGCGACGCCCATACTGATCTCCAAGAGGCGCAGAGAGTAAGGCTCCGATGGCGGTTCCGGCGCTCAACATGGCAACGATTAACGCGCTCTCTTTTGGATATATGCCAGGCTCTCCGTTGCCGTCGACGTAGCCAGTCGAGAAGTGATCTTTGAATGCTTTCATGGCCAGGATGCCGTTTATGGTTCTATAAGTGAGAGGCGCATAGTTAGCCATGTAGTCTGATGTTGGCTCGGGGGTCTGTCGTCCAGTCTGCGACAATGCAGCATCAAGCGCATATCCATTGCATATTCCATCCCCATTTTACATCGCATATCCATTGTGTATCCATCGCATCGACGTGTTTAATCGCGCCCGAGTGCATTCGGGGGAGGGGCCTCCTTACCCAGTGTCATAGCCAAACAGTAAGCCGCCTGTGGCGACAAAGAGGCCGACCATGATCGCCGGGGCAGATGAACCAGCGACATTGTCGGGCTTCTGCCAGCCCATGGCGAAGATCGCCATGGCTGAAAGGTCGAGGGCAGTCAGGCCAGGGTTCAGTGTCGTTGCCGCTGGGGTTGTCGCGGACTGACGATGTTGAGGTCGGACGGTTGTTGAACCATTTGAATGGGGATGGATGTCTTGGTGGTCCCCCCGTAGCGTAGCGACGGTATTTAGAGGAGGTGGTAGTGGCCGGGTCACTGGTGGCACTTGAGGCTGTCGAGGGTGGGCGGGAACCACAGAGCAGGCTAGATCTGCGTAGGGTGTAGACTGTAGTTCTTGACGGTAGGCTGTATGTATGGGTAACGTTGTGGTTTATTAGATTTGGCTATGGGATGACAGCGACAGTCCCCGTCCGACTGGTGTCCCGTCTGACAGAGAGCCGGGTCGCGAGGCCTGGGGCTGGTGTCTTTGTGAGTCCGTGTCTGTGTCCCTGTCTGGAGCGCAACGAACGGGGCCAGAGACGCAGCAGCAAGACGACAGGCCGCAGCGAAAGGCAAGAGAGAAGGTAGGAGGGAGGATGGAGTCCTGGCAAGTGTGGATGGGTGGATGGATGGACGGGTGGGTTGAGTAGATGGATTGGAGGGCAGGCGGACTGGACGCTTCGAGATCACAGTTTCTCTCAGCACGGGGAAGGCGCGCTCTGATTGGCCGATCCGTCCCGGCCTGCCCCAGAGACCGACAAACCCGTGCTCAGTTTGGCCTGCAATTGCCTTGCTGCACGCTGCCTGCAGGCCTGGTAAAATCTGGGCCTGCAAAGTGAACGCTCCAGTCCGTCTGCGAAAGGGCGGGGATGCCCACGATGAGCCGGAGAGTGTCCATTCTCCCAGTATCATGAATGTCTCTGGGCCATGGGACGACACCACTCAGACCCCATGGGATGTGATCCGGACGGGTTTGCGATGGGATGAACAGGGCACCACGCACCAGGAACCGCACCTCAAAGCACCTTTCCCCAGAGGCCCACCAAAATACCTGCTGGAGTCCATCCACCCTTCTTTCTTGCCAACCAGAACGTCTCCCTGAGTGTTCTTTGACGTCCCCAGACTAATCCCCATTGAGAGATGCTAGTGTAGTGCCCACACGCTCCGGCCGACCCCCGGTGGCCTGCAGGCTGCTCGGCTATGCACACTCCTCTCACTTCACAAAGTTGTGACTAAAACGATTCGAGATATCTTCAAGTTGTCACGGCCAATTTTCCTCAGTAGGTATGTGGTTGCTATGATGACCCTCATCTCCTGCTCAGACAACTTCAAGCGCGGGGATAGCCTCACGGATGATCGACACAAGCGACGTTGAGGTGCCAACGCAAGTGGCAGATAATTATGAACCGAGCCCGTCAGATGTTGCTATTGGAGCCGGACCTGGCTTACGACGACAATTATACATGTTCTCCGCTTTCCAAATACGCTCTGGAACTTGCAGACAATACGACAAAGAAGTATTTGTCAAATCTCCAGCTGTCCTGTAACAGTACCATGAGACGCTCCTGAGCCCGGTCGGAAACTGCTCAGCCCATGTCGCTGTTGTTGGATGGCGCAGAAATTGCTCGCCTAGGTGACCGAGGTGACCTGGGCCACACCTGCCGTGAAGTACCGGAAGGGATCAAGCAACGGCCAAACCGCTGTCAGTACCACGCTGAGCCCACCAGAGACGTGTTCGACAGGCAGACAAAAAAGGTCCATTACGGCAATTCCCGTCACCCGAACTATCAGGCATTCGTTGCTGTTTTGCGCTGTGCGGAAAACCTCCAGGTCAAGTGCCCCTGGACCTGTCTCTAGTTCCCAGCTCGAGCCAGCTTTTGCGTAGCATTAGGGGACTAATCAAGAGGAATTGTCTAGGTACCAAGAAGCATCATGAATGGGCTGTTCGCTTACATATCCCGCATGAGAGAAAACAAGGTCGAGGGCATCTTGGAATACTTCGGCTTTCGAAAAGCTCATCGGTTACTATTCATGATCAACTGTCGCCAGGATAGTGCGTAGGTAATGATGCCTGCACCTGTATCCCGTAGCACTACACCTCCGGGGTATTTTACTTGGCGCCCAGTGGTGCTTCCGCTGAATGGACTAGCAAGTGAAATTAATTGTTACTAACAAGTATTGAGCTAGCGAATCTAGAAGGCATTTCCGGAATGTTCGTAACGAACTTCAGTCCGTGACTCCGTGTCTTCATGGTTTCAGCATTGACACTCTTCTCACCAAGGACAGGGACGTCATGCCCGAGTGTGAGGAGACCTGGGCCTACCACTAGTCGTCTCAAAGTATTTTCCGCAGATGCAGTGGCTGAGTGTCGGACGAGTGCTTCAGATACTGACATCAAGCCATCGCTCCTTGCACTCACTCCTGGAACATCATCGCGCAACACTGCCATTCAGAAGAATGAACCGCGAAGTACCGGATTCATCACCAACTCGTCAATAGATTGTGACGAAACAGGCTGTCTTGGTACTTGCCTGTGTTGGAAAACATCATGTTACTACAGCAGCCATGAGGTGGTGCCGTCAAGCACGCCAGGAATTCACTGCCCAACCAGCATGCGAAGACTCATTTATCCTTTTGACCACGCACCTTGGCAAACGCCTCTGTTTTCCACCTCCCTATGGCTACATATAGAACTTTTCCCCATGGCCTATAGTTATGTCATTCACGTCGTGCAAATAATCGCTGCACCTATTGGTGTTGAGTGTCTCATCCTCCTCTTCTCCCTTCCCCTTACCCTGCTCGCTGTGGTACTAACACCGACCGACCGTTCAGCTGCACGGGACTACTCAAGTGGTCCTCAAGAATAAGAAGAGGCCATTCCCGAGAGCTCCGTCTAAGTAAAGCGCAGTCAATTTGGCCAAGGTCGTACAGCTTAAAACCGTCTCTAGTCATTGGTTAACAACGAAATGAACACCTGTGACTTCCGGGTCACGCCTGATCATTTACGGCTTTGTTACAGAGACCCCAGTGAATCTTGTGGGAGTGTGTAATCGGACTCTGAACGTTACGGGCTAGTCACGATTCCACAAGTTCAGCCCCAAGCGGCGCGAGTGGGAGGACAGCATGCTTATTATTGCTGCACTTGGACTTGGACGGAAAACACTGCACATCTAGAGTTCTTCTTATACATGATACGTATCTTCGAGCTTGGGCGAGGTATTACAGTAAGGGATATCTTGGCTCGCTTCATGTTGTAGGCGAAGAAGGATATGGCACATCGCCACGGTGGAAATGAAGTCTTTGATTGTCCCCCCTGGTTTTCGGTTTCATAGCTAACTCTAGATAGCTACCTCTAACAGCAAAGTTCAAAAATGAGTCACCATGGCTTCTCCAGCAGCAACATTCTTACATTAGTTCACGTTTTGATATCCAGATGGTTCTTCAAACAAAGATCATTGTCCAGTCGATACTGAACCAGCCTCCTCTGCCTGGTTGTCGCAGTCTACACTCCATGTCTTTTAACATTATCCACAGTAGCTCAAGCACAGGGTGTCTATAACAACAACAGGCCCCATATAGAGCTCCAGATGCCTCTCTGGGCCCTGAATCTTTCACATTTTGAATTTCCTGTTTGACAAGGCCGATGCTGTACTCGGATCTCGGAATATTAGAGCTGCCGATCACTCAAATCTGAGACACGACTTGTTGGGTGTTCACGAACATCACTGTACAGAAGCGCCAAACATGTGGTGGTGTTTTTACTACATCACATGTATGTTAACTGCACCAAAGGTTTTAGATTTGTGTTCTTCTCCGGCACATACTGGACTTTGTAGCTGGCAACATACCACTCCCATGATGAGGGTAACAACAGACACTCCTCGTTTTAGCACAAATTTGTTTTTCGATCAACAATTAGGCCATACAGCTTTGTTGCCTATCAACCATGTATTTCATGTAGGCACCGTTGGTTTCACACTTCTTTTGTTCCTTTTGCACAATTCTAATCCCTCAACATCTACCTCTCACCCAAGAACAAATAGTTGTGGCTCGTACTATATACACATGTACCCAAGCAATAACTGGGAACTTAATGCCTGACCACATTTACCAGCCAACCAGCTACATCTTATCTCCACCCATATAGTAAACTCACACCCGTCATCGAATGCACGTAATCACCCGACATGGCTACACCACACCCTTTTTTTTTTTTTCTTTGGGGCTGACCTTTGGGGCTGACGCTACCCTTTACTTACACGACATATTTACATGTGAGTGGTTCTTGATCTGTCTCTGTTCCATACATTTGCGCCAGAAACTTTCGAATTTGGGCAGAATGTAAAAACTGCTTGTCCACAATTCGTAAACTGAGCCATTCTTAATGTCCGCTTACCTTCCTTTCTACCTATTTACCTAGCCACCTAGGGCAGCTACAGCCCTCAAAGTCAGGTCCTTGCTCGGCTTCCCACGGCATCAAACTGACTGGCCGACTGAGTGGTTGACTGACTGACTTCTCCCTTAGTGACAATGACGACAATTCCTTTGTTTCTTTCTTCAGCAGTGTCTCTAACCGTCGGGAACCTGCAATATACCTGAAAGATCCCAAATCAACGGTTCCGAGCAATATAACCGCTTTTGATGATGAGATCGAAAAGTACCGTAATAACAAGAGTCGGCAAGGGTAGCTGTAAGTCTAGACGACTGACGGACGGCCCCTACATCGTGCGTGCATATACATACCCGAGACGGACTTTCTCGCTTATGTGTCTCGCCATACCAAGTCCCGACACCGAATACCTGACTCCCGACTCTTGCCGCTGCGGTGCCGACTCACAATTGACGGACCATATGTACGTGTACATGGGACACAGATATGTACCTAGCTGAAGCTAGAGGCATGAACCGAACCTTGACCAAGATAGGAATGATCTGATCTAAGCTTCCCCAAATATTGTTCAGGAAGGTGGTCGTCATCTTCCATCTTGATGAGGACCGGGACAAGCACACCAGTCAATAAGGAATCACACGATTGAACTAACATGTTGAACTTGAAGTTTTGTCTTTCTGTTTATCTTCCTTCCTGCTCCAAAGTAAATCCATGGCTATCATCATAACATAAAGAAAAAGGCTACCCATAAAAGTACAAACATGTGGCGCCAGCATTTATTCCAAACCGCTGAAGACCAAGATGCATATCCCTGGCAATGAGTTTACACATCCGCCGAGACTAACCAAAACCCATCATTACATTTCAACTCCGGTGTTGTTACCCTTCTCAGAAACTATCCAAAAAGGCCTTGGTATAATCAACTCTTGAAACGGCAACTCCGCAAAACTCAAACTTAAACCTCGAGGGTAACCTTCTGGCCCTTGACGCGGCCGATAACCTGCTCGGGGGCATACTTGGGAATGACCTCGTCGTCGTGGAGCATCTCGAACTCCTCAGTGGCGTCACGGCCCATGAAGTTCAGGAGAGCCTGGACACCACCGGGGTGGTCCTCAAGCCAGTTGGTGAGGTCAAGGACGACACCCTTGACGACAACCCAAAGGTCCTCCTTCTTGTTGTGCTTGGCAACCTCCTCCATGGTGTACTCCTTGTCGGGGATGGTGAAAGCCTTGGGGTCCTCCTTCTTGGGGGCAGCGGCGGCAGTGTCCTTCTTGGGAGCCTCAGTGCTGGAAGTAGCCTGAGCACCCTCACCGCCCCACTGGACGGAGATCTTGCCGGGCTGCGAGGGATCGATGTGGAGAGCGATCTGACCAAGACGGGCAGCACCAGTGTTGCCCTTAAGAGCCTCCTGGAAGAGGTAGTTGCTGGCGGAGTCACCGGCGACACGGCCGTAGACAACGCAGCCAAGGAGGGAAGAACCACCGAGGCGGTTGGCACCGTGGACACCACCGGCAAGCTCACCGCAGGCGTAGAGACCCTCAAAGGGCTTCTGCTCCTTGTTGAGGACCTGGGCCTTGTCGTTGATCTCGATACCACCCATGGTGAAGTGGAGGACGGGCTCCATGACGGAGACGTGGAAGTCGTCGTTGATATCGACGGGCATGTTGTGGAAGAACTTCTTGCCCCAAGGATCCTTCTGCTTGCCCTCAGCGATGGCGTTGTAGGTCTGGAAGGTCTTCTGGAGGTGCTCAGGAGTGCAGCCGATCTCCTTGGCGAGCTCGTGGCCGGTCATCTTCTTCATGAGACCACGGCCAGAGTAGTGGCGGGTGTGGAAGTCAAGGGTCTTGGAAGCCTTGGAGTTGAGGACGAGGCGGACGGGGTACTTGCCCTTATCCTTCTCCTTGTGGATCATGCCAGAGACGTAGTCACGGTGGCCGAGCTCGTCGCAGAAGCGGTCACCATCGCCGTTGAGGAGGAGACCACCCTCACCACGAAGGGCCTCAGCAGCAAGGAACTTCCACTTGGAGTTGGGGTCCTTGGGGTCGACGAGACCGGTAGGGTGGACCTGAACCTTGTCCATGTCAATGCCGTTACCGCCAATGGCCATGACCATCTTCTGACCGTCACCAGTGGCGTGGGTGCCGTTGGTGGTAGCAAGGCCGTAGACATCGGGGCGGTGCTTCTTCAGGAGAGAATCCTCAGTGAAATCGGCGGCATAACCACCAGTGGCGAGGACAACGGGGCCATCGAGGGTCTGGGACTCGCCGTTGACCTCATACTGGACACCAGTAACCTTGTTGCCCTCCTTGTTGAGGCTGGTGACGCGAGCCTTCTTGATGATCTGGACACGCTCGGGCTCGGTCTCGGCGAGCTCCTCAAGGCGCTGCATGAGAGCATAGGTGATGGCCATACCGGGGAACTTGGCATCGTGACCACGGTGGGTACGGGGCTGGGAGTGACCACTGCAGGCAGAGTTAGCGACGGTATTCTACAAAGGAGGAGCTTTCATGCTCAAAAAAAAGGGGGTACATACCCGAGACGGGAAACAAGGGTGAGGTCGAGGTTGAAGACATCCTGGAGCCACTCAACGGCAGCAGCGGACTTGTAGGTGAGGACCTTGATGAGGTCGGGCCTGGCCTTGTCACGGGCAGACTTGAGGGTATCATCGTAGAACTGCTTAACGGAGTCCTGGATGCCGTGCTCAACCTGTGTGCGGGTGAGGGCACCGTTGATACCGGAAGTGGCCTTGGTCGAGTTGCCACCGAAGAAACCCTGCTTGTCGAGAACAACGACGTTACCACCGGCGAGGTAGATGGTGTGAGCAGCGCTCAGGCCGGACACTGGAAACGGAATAAACTGTCAGCAAAATGCCCGTGAACAGCATGGCACAGCCAGATGTCGAATGACGGATGTCGTGGCCCGCGCGCGGGGTATCGCGCAGTGTTCGCAAGTGGGAATGGTAACTTACAGCCACCGCCAACAACAATAACTCTGGGGGCCATTTTGAATATGATGTGTACCTCACAGGAATAAAAAGCCTGAAGTGAATGAGGATGAAGAGAGAAAGAGGGATGCAAGTCAAGAGAAAGAAAGAAGGAGTTTGCAAAAGCGGCAGGAATGCAGGCCTGGTTATTATTTGGTTGAGGGAGCGTCGACCGACGACCTTGACCTTCTGAGCCACGGGCACTAGCAATGGAACCGGGGCCGGGTTGTGTTGCAATTGCTGACACCCTGATTCGTGACGGGAGCCGAGGTCAAGCGTTGGGTGGGCTCTCGGCGAAACGACAGGGGTTTCTGGCGCTGGGGAAAGTGCAAGCCGATGTCCAGCAAGCAGCTGGCAGAGTGTCGCCCCATAATATTGGCCCTGTCATTCACGGGGTTCTCCATCATTTTCTCCAACAAGAGGAGTTGCTCCTCACTCTCCAATCCAGGTCGGCCTGACAATATCCGAAACGATGTGAAAAGCTGTCGAAACATTTTACTCTCTATCCCCACGATGCTCTCGAACCCGACGCCAACTCATCTTAAGCGATACAGAGATGATGTTGATTCAGAATACAGTCTACACAAAGCACAAAGAACGACGGCTAACGGCATCATAACATCCACTTGTGTGCTTTGGACCTCGCCTCCGATTTCTGGCCGAGGACAAAGTGGACGTCGGTGGTGGACTGCGCGCTGGCCGTCCGGCAAATGTACCGAGGCTTGCCACAAAGAGACCCAAAAGCGGACAACACCAAGGGCAATAGGCAAATACAGTATGAACCCCTGAAAGTGCAACTAATTCGGGCTGGCGAAATCTTTTGCACTTTCTGGGTATTTGCACTTGGGGGACTCGGTGCACAACCCATATGACCCTGACTGGCCACTAGAAGGTGACCAGTGGCGGCCAAAAGTGGGTCGCTGAAGCCCCGGTAACCGGGTATAAGTGTTCTCTCCTACCAAAATTCGACCCCTGCAGGTGCAAATTTGCGCTAGAGTCTTTGCACTTTGCAGTTTTGCAGGTTTTGTATGGCAAAACAATTCCGGCGGCCAAATCTTTTGCACTTTGGGGGGCGTTTGCAGTTCAGGGCGGTTGCACTTGCAGGGGCTGATACTGTAACATCACACAGTACAAAACACAGACATTTCACCCACTCTTTCCACTGTGGGGTTCATGATGCCAAAACAGGAGGCTCCATGCAACTCGCACTCCGGTGCAAATTCCTGTTGAGACGTATCGAGGCCCTTCGCCGAACTTCAGTGGAAATCCTTCCGGAGAGAAGCTTCTTTGGACCTTTTTGACTCTGAGGCCCGCTGCAGCTGATGCACTCGATGCCACGATGTTGAGCAATCCCACACTGGGCTTCCATTTCCACACACCCACACTGCCCACACTCCTGGCTCACTTGGCATTTTGCCAAGGTGCTAAGAAACCATCTGGTCGTCTGGTTCATCCTCGCTCTCGTCCCCGTTCTCTCCTTTCCCAATGGAACCGGCCCAATCCCCATGCTCTACCCCCAGGATTCCCCACAGAGTCACGAGCCGGCCAAGCCAACTAGATCCCCACCTCCCCCAATCAATTGAAGGTGGGCAACTGCCGCTTCTCGTGTGGGTGACGGTTGGAGGTACCCACTGAGGCATGTGAAATTCAACGCGACCAACAACCCCAGCATGCTCGAGATTCCGCATCAACCATTCAGGCCATCATCAAAAGCTTGGATCAACGGCTTCGTCTCCAAATAGAAGGCTGTACACCACAAACGAGGATCATCAGATGTAGTGTAATCAAACACGGCTCGGAATGCAGACATCGAACCGAACTCTGAAAAGCGGTCAAGGCAGCATCTCCGGGTACCTGATATCTGACCCTGGCCGCCATGCTCGGTCCAGCCGTCAAGGCTTGTCAGATGATGAACGTGCCTCCCGATGTCTGTTGACTTTTCGTGCTTTGCGTGGCATGTGATACTCTCCGGTTCTGAGACGATGTCATCGGCAGACCTGTGTTTGACGATAATACTTGCTGTTCATGGATACCCAGCTGTCAAGAAACGAATTGTAGTCTGATGGATGAGCATGTTCTACCCGTTGACTGCAGTGCTTGTTGCTTGTTGCAGAGAGCCTGCGCATCGCGGGCTGTCAATATGTTATGGCCGGCTGTTCCACCTACATGAGCTCCAACTTAACCTCACCGTGGATCCAAAGCTTGATGAAGCATTTTCTAATAGAACCAGATGAGTTTCCCCGAACACCTGCAACCTTCGTGGATTTGATCATTCTGGATCATTTATCAACTTCAACCAAAATCCGCGGAAATCACGAGATGTGAAGCACATAGCAGCAGCGCGGCAATCACCTTTGATTGACTGCTTCCCGCCCCCAGCTCGCACGTACGTCATCGTCGACATCCAATCCGATGGCTCGCTCGCTACCGTTCGTTTCGCTCTCTGCCACAACGTGCGATGCCATACGTACGCCTATATCTCTGTGCAGGTGACCAAACGCTCGGATCGTATCACGGAGAAGAGAAAACATCTGAGACTTGTTTGCGTCGGCCATGAGATTTTATCCGTACCTCTTCTTTGCACCAACTGCTGCAGTCGCCTTAGCTCAAGTCGTCCATCCTCTGCACCGGACCGCTTCCGATATACAGCAGCAGCAACAACGGCAGCCGCAGCCGGCCAACCACGCGCAAATCCCACTTGTGAAGCCTGCCGGAGGACTCGGCCCAGCCATGCCACCTTCCGGAGCGCCTCAAACAGACGGCCCCGCAAACGCGGGGGGCGGCGGCCCAGTCATGCTTTCAGATGTCATGGGACGGGATAAGAGCATCAACCTCTTTGCAGGGTGAGTCGCATCCCGTGTCCTTTATGTCTTCAACCGTGGCTTTAGCTGACATCTCAAACATCACAGCTTCCTTAGGAACATCGAGTCTCCGTCTCAGCGTTTAGACGATCCAGCCAGGAACACGACCGTGCTCGCACCCCTTAACTCGGCCGTAGAAAACCTTCCACGGAAGCCATGGGAAGATCCGAAAGACTACAGCGCTTTGGGCACGAATGCGTATGAAGGCGAGGATGGACAGGGACGAGCGCAGCGCAACCTGCGTAGGTTCGTTGAGGCTCATTTGATTCCAACCAGCCCATGGCCGGCTGGCGAGAAGGTTAAGCCGGTGGGTGGTGATACGGAAATCTGGTGGGAGGAGAAGGATGGTGTGAAACGGGTAAGTGGAGGGCAAAAAGAAAACACAAAGTACACCCGCCTTGACTTGAAATGGTTATACTGACATTATACCACTCGCAGATCCAACCGGGAGATATTGAAGTTGTCAGTGTAGGCAGCACTGTCGTCAATGGCGAAGTGGTAAGTCCACCCTTGGTCCGCCCATTTCTGCCCCCTCCTTTGTCCCAATTGTGCACTTTTGCTCAAAGCCTGTTTCTTGCGGGAATGTTGACCTTGAAACTTTGATTGAACAGTGGATCTTGAAAGGCGTTCGGAATTATACCGGATAGAAGTTGACAAGTTCGAGACAAGGAAACCGTCGAATGAAATTGGGCATGAGTACTGAGCTATGGACTGTCATGGACGGGGATGTACACCATGTTGATATTTTCTGAAGTCGTTTTGTTGCTGAGCAAAATGGCTTCTGAATAAGCGATAATGAACTGCAACAGGAGGAGACCTCAGGACAATCCGGTCTTGCGATAACCTCACGATAACAAACGTTATCGCAAATGATGGTGGATTCATCTGGTCCGTTCCTCTGAGAACTGATGCTGGTGACTCTGACCGTTACGGTAGGCGGTAGCCGCCGGCAGGTCTTCAAACGGGACCCACCGCGTATGACACGAATGATGATGACACCGCGCGTTGGCGGCGCTGAATCGGCCAAACAACGTTCAAGCGGTAGAACACGAAGTTGAATAACAAACTATTTCCTACTGCCATATCTAGCTGATGAGCTTCGAATCAGAAAGCAGCTTCGTTATATAACGAAAAAAGGTGGGATCGAATAATTCCAAATTCCGTCACCGGTTCCTGAAATGCGCGCCTTGTCTCATATTCGGGCTCCATCGGCGATAATGTAGATACGTAAGGGGTGAGTAGGGACGATAAGAAGCCTCGGTGGGTCAGGAGCAGCAAAGGAGTAAAATCTCTGAGCTCTGATTCGCTGGATTAGTGCTTGGGCCGGGCTGAGGGCCCCAACCGACATTTTGCCGCCTTATCGCTATCAGTTGGAAAGGCGGAAAGAGATCTGCGCCCCGGTTGCCGGTCTTGCGACACAACTGCTTGCTACGTTTGATTCCCGACATCCACTTGGTCGCTAAAATCATCTACGGAACCAAGCCCTTGTTGTCGACAGCCGTGCCAAAATCCAACTTCAGTTGAAGCCGTCAACATTCGAAATATCCAGAGGACATTGTCCATCGATGGTCTCAGGGAGGTTCTATGACACCTGTCGCAGCTGTACGCGCCAAGCTCCCCCCATCCTCGTGTTCTTCCAGCCCAGCTTTTGCCCTGCTCTGCCTGGTCCCCTGAGAGAGCTCCCAGGGCTCCCGCCTCGCCGAACTAGGTGAGGCCGATCTAAGGCAGACAAGCAAGCAAGCGCCTGCCGCAACCACTCTCCCGCTTTTAAGCCTTGTCCTTTTCACCACATTGACCTCATCACGCAACCAAATCCTTGCTCCCCTCCCAATCCCCCACCAGCGCTCCGGTCATATTCAGCTCATTCCTACATCACCCTCATAAATACTTGCATCTTACGCGTCCTCGGTTTCGCAACTGACGCATACCCCCCAGAGCCTTCGAACAGTCCAACCACGATGAACTCCCAGCCCCAGCCTCTGCATGGCGGTGGCCCCTTTGATCGCGACCGCGAACGCGAACTCGAGGAGCAAAGACATCGCGCCATTCAGCAGGAGGAACTAGCACGACGAGAGAGAGACCGTGATCAGACCCGCGAACGCGAGCGAGAACGGGAACGGGAACGCGACGACGCCGAACGTCAGCACCGGGAACCATACCAACCCGCCACCACCCCTCACCACAGCAGTGCTGGCTCGCTCCCCATCCACCAACCGGTCGCCTCTAGAGTTGCAACCACCATTCATAGCCCCGGCGGTCTGCTTGCCAATCACGGAGGCTCTGCCCCTTCTATGCCTATTGGCGCACCAACGGGACCTGCTCCCGCTTTCGGCCCCCAGTTACAACATGAACCCGGCCGGCATCCTTCACACGGCGGGCCTGGCGCTGCGCCGACAACTCAACATCAAATGTTCGCCCCAATGTCTCACGGCCTCGGTGGCCCAAATAATGCTCTAGGAGGGTCGGGCGGACCGGCGTCTATCTTCGGCGGCCCTCTCCAACAGGAGACCGGTCGGGGGTTACAGCAGGATGGTGTGCGTGGCATGCAACAATTGCCCTTTGGCTCCAATATGAGCGCTGGCCACCCCATGCCATCTGGCCCCACTGGAATGCCTCAAGGCCAACAGCCAATCCTTAACGTAAGTAAACCCATCTAGACGGTCAGCAGGGTGCGATTTCAATCGCCAGTGGATGCTAACGGTAGTCACACAGGACGCTTTGAGTTATCTCGATCAGGTTAAGGTCCAGTTCCATGAGCAACCAGACGTATACAATAAGTTCTTGGACATAATGAAGGATTTCAAGAGCCAAACGTATGTCGGCCCTCCGTGTTCGACAGTCTCCTCTAGAAGCAGGCTAACCGGAAGCAGCATAAATACTCCTGGGGTTATTACAAGAGTTTCCGAGCTATTCGCGGGCCATCCAAATCTCATCCAGGGCTTCAACACATTCCTGCCACCCGGTTACCGCATTGAGTGCGGCTTAGAGAACAACCCGAACAGTATTCGCGTTACAACACCCCAAGGTTCCACCTCGTTCTCAATCGGTGGAAGTCGGGCGCCACAACTCGAACCTACACAACCTACACCAGGTCCTGGTCAGACCTTCCTAAGTGCACGACCAGGGAATTGGCCGCCATCAGCTGTGCAGCACAGCATTGAGAGCCCCGAGGTGGCGTATAGCGTGCCTGCACAGAATGGCCCTGCTGGATTCCCTGGCTCTAACCAGAGTGCACCCTTCGAGAACGCCAGTCCGATTCAGCAGAGGTCGGTCCCAGCCGGCCAGAACGGGGCTGTCGGCACCCATGCTGGGCCAGCGCCTAGAAATGCGCACACGCCTACGCCAACGGTGGCCGGCCAGCCCAACTCAAACGGCAGCGTGGCTCATCAAGCAATCATCGAAAAACGGGGACCGGTTGAGTTTAACCATGCGATTAGCTATGTCAATAAGATCAAAGTGAGTGCATTCTTCCCGTTGGCCAGGGGCGGCATAAGTGGGAGCGGTTTTCGTGGCAAGGATGGGGCTGGGAAGCACTTGTGGAGACTCCTTCGTCTGAACTTGACATGGAACTTAAGTGTGCGAACTCGAACTGACTCTTTTGCAGAATCGTTTCCAGGACAAACCCGAAATATACAAGCAATTTCTCGAAATCTTGCAAACCTACCAGCGCGAACAAAAACCCATTCAGGACGTCTACTCCCAAGTCACCACTTTATTTCACGCGGCGCCCGACCTGCTCGAGGATTTTAAGCAATTTCTTCCCGAATCGGCCGCGCAAACGCGACCGGCCGGCCAGCAGCGCCTGGAAGACAGCGCGGCGATGGCGGTTACGACGCCAACCCCTCAACCAGGTCTTCCTGTCCGTGATCAACAGCCCAAGATGCCACCGGTCGGTAACTTTGCGCCCCCGCCGAGCGCCAGCAAGGAGAGCAAAAAGCGTCCTCGTGTGGAGAAGGCCGTTCCCACCGCCGCACCTCCCACATCCGAGCAGCCGCCTGTCTCGAGTTTGCGATCAACTATTCAGCCAGCGGCACCCGCCAACAAGCGAGCCAAATTAACACACAAGCCCGTCGCCGGCGATGGCAACTTCGTCGAACCTACATTGACTCCTGTCATGCCGGAACCGCTTGGTCCGATCCCGCTTTCGACATCCGGCCAGGATGATGTACAATTCTTCGAGAGGGTCAAGAAGCACATCGGCAACAGGACTGCGATGGGCGAGTTCATGAAGCTCATCAACCTCTGGAATCTTGACCTGATCGAGAAGGATGTGTTGATCTACAAAGCCAACCACTTCATGGGTGGCAACCCGGAATTGCTGAATACCCTCAGGCACATGCTCAGGCACACCGGCACAGAAGAGGTCGTCGAGAACCGACCTGAACCGCCTCTAGGCAAGGTTTCCTTGAGCAACTGTCGGGGTTTCGGTCCTAGTTATCGCCTTCTCCCTAGACGGGTGAGTGCTTTCCCCTCTTTAGCATTATTTTCCTTACAAGACCGCTAACCAACATGGGACTCCAGGAACGTCTCCGCCCTTGCAGCGGTCGCGACGAGCTGTGCAACTCGGTCCTCAACGATGGTTGGGCCTCACACCCGACGTGGGCTTCGGAAGATTCGGGCTTTGTTGCGCATCGCAAGAATGGTTACGAAGAGGGACTCCATCGCATCGAAGAGGAGCGACACGACTACGACTTTTACATCGAAGCCAACCAAAAGTGCATCCAGCTCCTGGAACCAATTGCACAACAAATGCTTACGCTTACCCCTGCGGAGCGACAACATTTCAAGATGCCTGCGGGTCTTGGTGGGCAGAGCACTTCGATCTACAAGCGCGTGTTGAAGAAAATCTATGGGCCGGAGAAGGGCTGCGAGGTCGCCAATGAGATGTTTAAGAACCCTTTCGCCGTCGTGCCCATCGTTATGGCTCGTCTAAAACAAAAAGACGAGGAGTGGAGATTCACACAGGTATGGACCAACATCCCCTCAACCCGTCCTGTGCTGAGAACATGTATTTGCTAACCGATTTGATAGCGCGAATGGGAGAAAGTCTGGCAGAGCCAAACCGAAACGATGCACCTGAAAAGCCTGGACCACATGGGTATTCAGGTCAAGACGAACGACAAGCGCAACTTGTCCGCCAAGCATCTGGTCGATGTCATCAAGACCAAGCACGAAGAACAACGCCGACTAAGGGCTACCAAGGCCAAGATACCTCGTCACCAGTTCCTGTATGGGTTCCAAGATCAGGATCTTCTTCTTGACCTTCTTCGCTTCATGGTCATATATGCGAACGTTGGTGGCCAGCACAACGCCCTTGAGAGGAGACGAATCTTGGAGTTCTTTGAGACATTCATCCCGGCATTCTTTGACCTTCCAGAAGAGAAGGTGCAGGAGAAAATTGCTGATATCGACCAGGATTCTGGAGAAGAGGATGAAGAAGAATCTGCGCCCACTGAGCTCACCAATGGCAGGACGCGACGCGGTAAGAAGTCCGATCTACTTCGCGGTGTTCTTGACCCGGGTCGTAATGGCAGTCGTAGCCGTGGCCAGAAGGAAGACAGCGCAGCAACAGGAAGCAAGGAAACGACGCCGGATGTCGGGTCTGCTAATGAGGAGGAGATGCCGGATGCGCCAGAAGATCGGGCTGTCCCCGAGGTCTCGAATGACCGCTGGTTGCCGACAATTGGGCCCATCGTCTTGGAGAACACCAAGGAGGGCAAGCCTGATGGACTTGTTGATGTCGATGGGGAACTGAAGGCGGACGCACCCTTTGCCCGTGCCTGGTACAACTTTTACTGCAACCAGAACATGTATGTGTTCTTCACGGTTTTCCAGACGCTGTACAGGCGCCTCGAGGACGTCAAGGCCAGCAAAGACAGCGTCCTTGAAGAGATCCGCCGGGAGACTGCTGTTAAGCCCGCAAAGATCCTTGGCATGGTCAACCCAGGCTTGCACTACTTCGACGACAAGAACCCGGAGACATTCTGGCCTCGAACTGTGGAGCTGATTGAGGATTTCATCAACGGCGAGATTGACGAGAGCCGGTATCAAGACGTACTCCGTCACTACTATCTTCGCAAGGGGTGGACGATTTACACGATCCAAGATTTACTCAAGACTCTTTGCCGCATTGGTCTTGCGTGCAACAACCCTGACGCTAAGGGCGAGAAGACCAAGGAGCTCGTCAGGGCGTACTTGGAGAGCCGTCAGCAGGAGACTACTAGCTTCCAAAACGAGATCAGCGCTCGTAAGTTTGCCGAGAAGTGCATCAAGGACGCCGATATGTTCGTCATCAGCTGGGTAAGTATCTCTTCCGAGAAAGGTAAATACAATAAATGCTAACGTATCACCAGTACCCTGGCAAGAAGGAAGCTTCCGTCCGCTGGTTGAAGAAGGAGGACACCACCTTCTATATGGACGAGATGGAGCGCATCCAACAATGGCAGTACTACATCTCTTCTTACATGCGTCAGGAGCCCACAGAGGGAGTAGACAAGAAGCAGCTCCAGAGGGTATTCCTCTCCCGCAACCACGCCGCGGCAACGGAGGGCATCTCCGAAGATGATTACAAACCCAAGCCTCTTGCATATGATGAGGGCTTGGTGATTAGAATTTGCCTCAACTCGTCCAAGATGGTGTTTGAGAAATTCACTTCGGAGTGGTTTATCTACAACACCACCACCTTCGAGTCGGAAGAGGACAGGGTTTTCCACGAGGAGAAGCAGGCGTTCCAGAGAGAGTTGCGCGACGAACGCCTCAAGGAGAAGTTCGTTACGAACAACTCCTGGATGAAGGGCCTGAGCCACGAAGAAGTCCAGGCAGCCAAGGACGAGTTCCAGAAGTGGAAGGAAGGAGGCATTGGTATGGTCGAGCCGCTGCAGCAGCAACAGCCCCCACAACAGACACATGCCGCCCAACAGTAGTATTGTGTTCATGGACGTCCTTGGGAAATGGAAGAGGATAGGGCGAGAGACGGGTGTTTTTGTGGCGGGGCCTCATCGTTACATCCCCTTTCTGCAGGAGAGATATGCTCTGAGTTGCCCCCTTCGGTGAGGGTAAGATAATTTGGTGCTGGAATTCCAAAAGGAGTTGTGTGGGAAATGGGTACGATTTGTTTTAAGTCGTGGATTTTTTTTGCTTTTTTTCCTCAGTTTCTTTCATTCACAGCCTAGGCGAAGGAGCGTGTGGGTATCAACAGAACAGAACAGGACTAGGTTGGTTGAAGTTTGAATCCAGTTCGTTTATTACAGATTGAGATGTGGAAAATTTCGGCGTACTGAGAAGAGAAAAGAGAATGGAACAAAGGAGGGACATGGTATGGAGAGGAGCAGACGTAGTAACATGGACTCCTCGCATAGGTGCCGGTGTTTCTTGAGGTTGTCACTTGATGAGGGGTGGAACTGATACTAGCGAGAACCATTTGTTTATATTCCTTGTCGATTAAATGCAGTACCTGGTAGTATTCTTCAACAACGGCTGTGAACTCTTCATTTGTACAACTACAAGGTACCGCCCGTCTGGTGCCCCTTTGAAGTGCGTACGGGTAGGTACCGAAGCTCGGACCAGGTAGCTACCTTATGCTTGGCAGACATCTCAACCACCATCACTCACTCCTTCCTTAGCTCCCACAAGCTCCAAGCTAAACGTTCTTTCCCTTCTTCCTTACCAGTTTGACCAACGGCTCAAGGTTGGGATCACAGTACCAACCAGCCGTATGGAAGAGCCATAAGGCACTCACATCATCCTTCTTCTCTGTTCACCTCTGCTCCCCCGCCATGCTTACCCGGCCGCCGCCGCTCTTCGGCGCCCCCATCGGCATTCTGCCGCGATGCTTCCCACGTTCAGTCCCGGCCTTGAACACTACAGTCAAAACAACAGCAGCCACAAAAGCCCTCGGATCACCCGTTAATATCGTTGCCGCTTATCATTGGCAGGGTCCGTCCCAGTTACGATGGCAATCACAACTACGTCGTCCTCAGGCGCAAACTCAGGTTCAGGCAGGAAGGACGCCAACAGTTGCAGAAACGGTCCAACTGAGTGGAAAGAGCCCTTCGCTAGTAATGCGACTTGTCGGTGTCATCTGGCTGGCTTCAACTTCAACTCGGTCATCATCGCCATCGTCGCAAAAGGAAAAGAGAGGAGTAGTACAGGCTAGCAACGGAGGATCACATGCCAGCAATGGAGGGGAACAACAGGCACAACTACCACCAACTGCTACGAATGGGATTCCACAACTTAAGGCGCCGAAGCTTGGTGAGATTTTCTTTGGACCTGGGCTTTTCCGCTCATATGGGCGGGATGGGAGTTGAAGCAGAATGTGGGCCGAAAGGGAAAGTGTTCATGAAGCTAATTAAGGAAATTGGTGATGGCAGAATATCCTGAGCGTTTGCTAATTTACAATGCCGGCAGGGGGAGTAAGTATTTACCGTTCTTATTATTGTCTCCGTTTTCCTGGTTGGGCGTTGTGTGGTCCAAGGCACACGGATGAGGCGACTTGGTCGAGATCTCATATCATGAGATATCCTGACAGATCTGGCATCAGATAGGACTCACTCACCCTCAGTCACTCCACCTCTTTTCTGAAAAGCTGTAACACAGGCTAATTGACAAACTCTTCCGAACAGAGATCATCTTCATCTCCCTCCTCAAACTCACCACGGTCTTGATATTCTCCGCCTTCGGCCTCTTCGTCGCCCCAATTTACATCGCCAATGGGTCTCCCCTCACTGGTGCCGCCGGTACGTTTTTATCCTCCCGCACCTCTTCACCCTTTTCCGCCTTACAACAACCACAAAAATTAACCACTCTCCACAGTCTTTACCTGCGGCCTAACCCCCTTCCTCTTCCTCGCCCACTCCTCCCGTCCCTTCGTCGCCCAAATCCACCTAACCAAGATCCCCCCCTACGCCCGTTTGTCGTCCGACGTCCTCCTCCGCTTCGCCCGCTCTCTCCCTCCTCAATCGGCCTCCCGTCTCGAATTCGTCACCATGTCTCTCATCGGCAAGCCCCGCGTTGCCAGCGTCAGCGTAGCCGACCTGAAACCCGTCCCTTCTTCCCAGAGGGGTTTGTTCAAGAAGGCGAATTTTGTCAGGGTTGACAATCAATCACCCACTGCTGTTGGTGCCAGCGCTGGTTCTGTTGGTCCTGCTGGTCCTTCTGCGATCAACAAGAACAAAACACTGTCCTCCTACCAGCTCAAAATCCAACAACTCCAAGCCCAACAGCAAGCCCTAAAGGACAAGAAGCAGCGAGGCTGGAAGCAAAGGCTTCTTGCGTGGGCGCGGTTCAAGAGGGTCAACGAGTTTTATGTGACTGATGTCCCGCAGAAGACGGCGGAGAAGAGGGGTGTGAAGGAGGCGAGGGTCTGGGAGGAGATTCGGGGTTTGATTGAGAAGAGGGCGGTCAGGGAGGCAGAGAAGAAGAAGGTTATGTGAGGATTATCAGGGAAAGAAAAGAGAGTGTGTGGGTGAGAGAGGGTCTGTAGTTATGTATGAATATTTGGAGGCCGGTTTGGTGCCTGCCGTATTTATCTCCGAAAGGAAAGGTGTATCAAGCTCGTGGACTTGTTTTGCTTCTTCTCCCTCGTGATTTCGTCTGCAGTACCAGATCATGACCGCCCCATCTGGCTACGCACCTTTATGAATGTATCGGGATGTGTGATACCGGGTAACATTCTCATCGATATGCCAAGTTGGCGGTGTTTCTGAAACCAGTGACCATTAAACGTGCAAATTTTCTCCACGCTACAAACATCATTTACAATATACCCCCATCCAGTGCTTTCATTTAGCTCATCAACCATCAGCTCGGCATACAGCTATTCCGTCCAAGCTAGAACATGGCGTTTTACATATCCAACCACGAAAATTTATCTTAACTCTTACATCACCACCTGTTTCAACCATCGACTCCAAAACTGCTGCAAAGCCTCCCTATGGATATGTAACACAACTTTCGCGTGACCGTGGTATAGAACTAGTAATACAAAGGCTAAAAAAAGGCATAGCCAAAACGAAACGAATGGTATCCGAATTTCCGACCACCGGAGAATGATGTTGAATGTTTGAGAGTAAAGAATCTCTCCCCCCTAATGTTCAAAATTCTAGATTCCGCCACCTATACTGTCCCATCTTCAGGGGACAAAGAATAATAATGCTTCCCTCCCCATGTGATGCCATAGTGGTTGTCACCTGCCGAGGTGTACCAGACACCGTCGGGTGAAATTTCTGTTTTTTCTTCCCTGATCCCCAACTGTGTTTGGTACCATTACTTTTCTTTTTTGCCTTGTGCTGTCGAAAAATATGAAAGCCATTCTTGCTGATGTTTAGGTCGAAAGTCGTTATCATAACATCAATGAAACCCAAAACCCTGTCGCGGTACACAAGCATACATGCCATGCCATGCCATGCCGTTTGACCTGCGGGTGACCAGGTATATCATTGACCAGGAAATTATCCAATCCTGACAATCTCGTGTCCTTGTCCCGTGGCCGGGTTGTGCGGATGTTGGAACAGGCGTGAGCATGCGTGTGACGGCGCGACGTCGCGCGATCAAGTGCCCAGCTGTTATCGGTTACGCTTGACCATATGGCCATCGTAATCGCCGCCCCAAGAGCGCTTGAGGCCTCCCTCATAGACGCTAGCCACAGACTCTTGCCACATTGCAGGGGTGACGAAAGTCTGAACTGGCTGGGTAGGGTACTGTGGCATATGCTGTGAAACCGGAGAAAGCTGAGCCTGGGCCGCTTGCAAGTCTTGGATGCTGGTCTCCGATGCACCAGAAGAGGGAAGCGATAATGGACTGGCATGGCTCGTGAGCTGAGAAGGATGCTGCACCTGAGGGTTGCCAAACTGGGCATTCCATTGACTGGCATAACGGTTAGTACCGAAAGAACTGCGAAGGGGGCTTTTCTCTTTCTGGGATTGACTTACTCAAAAATGCGAGACGGATTCCAGGCGGGGGCGTCCGCGAGCGGCATCGCCTGTGCCATGGAAGGCGCTTGTGTCCCGTGACCGGAAGACATCATGGCAAGTGACTGCAAATCATAGGAGTCACTCTTGCTGTCCATTGGGCCAACCGAAATGGGCGGTGAAAGGGGATGAGTGGTGTAACTAACGTGAGAATGTTGCACATGCGGGTCAAGCTGGTGGTCGATGGAACCAGTCCTCGACATATCTGATCGATACGATGGCCCTGGTGGGCTTGGATGCGAGTTTGAAGATGGGCTTCCATAGGGGAAGCTAGGCTTCAAAACGAACGGCTTCCTGATATCCTGGGAAAAGGCCTCCCGAACGGAATCAATCTGCCGCTGCATATCGGGCATTGGCCAAGCACCCATACATTTCTCTAACACCCGCATGTGGCGTGTGAAGTATTCTCGCGACTCCGCATTGAGGGCCGGATCCGGTGATGTCAAAGCGACCTGAAGCGAGCGTTAGTAGGGCTGAGCCAAGACTAGGTGAAAGGGGGCTAGAACGGGGAAGAAGACATACTAAATGCAATACAATACAAGCGAGAACCGCGTAGAGCGTGAAGTTGATACCTCGCTGCATGCACTGTAACCCGGCAATGCCAAATTGGTTGATAATGCCTTCTTGTAACCTGCAGAGCATCTTGGCGGCGCGGTATGAAACCAGCATGTGCTGCTTCCATTGACCTCCAGGGCCGGTTGGCGTCATATGAGCCAGCTGAGGTCTGTAAAACAAAATGATGCTGAGGTGGTAATACGAATGCATATTGCCAACGAACGAGGAAGGCAACCACGGAGGAGACCCGTCAGCAGGGAATTGAAGCTGAAGGTCGGGTGGTAGGTCGGTCAACCATGCGTCCATGGCAGGCCTGATCTGGACGAATTCAGGATCGATACCCCACTCCTTGTTTCTTTTAAGGCGTGAATAAACTCTGCTCATCCGGCAGACGTTCCGAACAACCTTGGAGAAGTAAACGAAGTTTCGGGAAACATCATACTCGGACGTGTCGCCGTTAGGCAAGGGTCTTGGAACGTCAAAATTGACAGTCTCTTCTTCGACCGCAAGATCGGTTTTTCCTAACAAAATGTCAGCATCTCATATGTCAGAAAGATGGATCCTCGACTTACCTTGAGGGGTACCAATCATAATCTCCACAATGAAGATAGTCTGCCAAATCCTGTCTCTCAACTGACACTCTGCAGGGCTGAAGCCACATGATCGACCGGCTTGGTGATCAGCATAGTGCTCGTCCAGCCCAAGATCCTTGGCCATTGTAACACATTGGACGATGCTCATCCAAGAGCGGTAGTAGTAGCCCTTCTTCGGTGCTTGTTCCCTCGCCTTGAGAAGGATCAGTGATGCCTGGAGGGTGCTCAGGCGAGGTACATCCAAGAACGAATCGGCATGGCCTGTGTTTCACGTTAGCTCATGATCAACAGAGCAAGGACGGGATTCGTACGTGTTGCAAGATATAGCCATTGCTGGCCTTGTGCAGCATCATCGGCAAGACGATTAGCAATCGCAAATATGGCCTCAAGGATGAGGGGCGAAATGGCCTCCCGGTTATTGTGCCATTGATGATAGAACTGTTGCTTGTCCAACACTGGGACATAAGGATGCGTATGCGTAAAGTAGAGATTGAAATAGTGGAGGCACAGATCTTCAGACGGCATCAGGGCGGGCGGTATGCGAATCTTGCCAGCGGTCAGAGGTGGTAGGTTCTTTGTGAACTGGTCCTCTTCGGTCTCTTCCACGGAGGGCTCGCTATCATCGGCCGATCGCATTTTGCTGTTCAGGTACGGAGCTAGAGCCATGTTAGTTTTGACAAGCTTTGAAAGTCAAGAGCAGCCGCCCTTTCTCACCTGTTCCTGCTTCGTTGACCTTGAGGGATCCCAGAAGTTCTGCCAAGTCCTGCTGGGCATATTCGGATTGATAATCTTCGGGTGAAGACGGATGTTGAGAGATTTGAGGTAGCTGTTGTACCTGGGGTATCTGATGCATGGAGGGAGGCGTCGGAAAGGAATCCGGGGTCGCATATGCAGAGTGCACGGCAGCATACTGAAGGTTTTGTGGTACAGCTTGCGGCTGCGTGTACGGCACGGTATGGTACATCGCTGCCGTGTCCTGGAAGGAGGTCTGTGAAGGATATATGGGTGTGGCTTTGGGAGCTTGAGCGTGCGTGAGAAGCTGTTGGTGATCGGTCAAAGCCATTTGCTGCTGTTGATAACTCTCCGGAACAGGCGACGAGTCGAACTGGGCACGCGGAGGTTCGTAAACTTGAGATTCAGCGGCGCCATCAAATCCATTTGGCCGAACGCAATGAAGCTTGAGGCGGATGCATGCCGAACATGGCCAAGTGTTGGTGGTGGCGGCGTCGCATTTGATCTTCCTTCTTCGGCATCCTTCGCAGGCTCTCATAACTATATATGCCAGTCAGTCTTAAAGTCGTGCTTGGTGTCTTGATGCCTCCATATGAGACAGGAATGGAACGGATTGTTCCAATATGGAAACACCATGATTGGAGCATCGGGTGGTGTATGTTCGCATGCTTGCTTGGGATCGGATAGATGCTGAGAAACCACATACCCTTCAACCGCTTGTGGCGATTGTGTTCGTCAACGAAGACATAGTCTAAAGTACCAAATAGCAGACTGGTTAACGGATGTTCTCTTATTTTCCAGATAAGACGAGGGGAGTATCCAAGGGACAAGACTGATAGGGGTCGCACTTTTCTGAGTTTCGCGCGGCGGTTGCTGGTAAGCAGGCGGCGCAAAGGTAAATGCACCCATCTGCGAAGTTTGCGGGAGCAGTCGGCGCACTGATGGGTCGTTTGACATGCTTAGAGGTATCGGTGATATTGTCTGATGTCCAGCGTCCGTCTGATGTCGAGTATGTAGAGGTTAAAGATGGGATGACAGTTTCAAGGTTTGGTGCTGTTGGCGAATGGCGGGGGAGTCAGCGCTTCCACATTGGCTTCTCGCTATCCTTGATTCATGAGTCGGATCGGATCAAAATCGTCCAAATGTTGCAGGTCGTGTCCTGAAAATGGGCGTAATGTATTCCTGGCGGCGCTGTTTGATGTGTCCGAGGGAGCAAATGTGTGTCCAAGATGTTGGCGCGCGAATTGAGTTTGACGGTCTGATGTGGGCGGTGGGTGTTGAGACTGAAGCTGCTGGGCCGGCTCAATTGATGATGTAGTAGGCAGTGGAGGCCGGTGTGCTGGTAGGGAAGTGGCAGGTAGTTTGATTTGAACGTTGCGTTGGCGGGCTGATAGTAGTGTTGTTGGCGGAAGGAGCGTTCAAAGTTGTACTAACCACCTCTACTAACTACACTACCTCTTTCTAGCACTAGCAGGTGTATGTAGCGGCAGTAGGTTTTCGAGGTAGCCGCAACTTTGTCGGTGGCCAAAAACAAGCAGACGGCACTTAGCAAGCCGCGTATACAATGTTCCTTTGGCGAGGTAGTATATGTCGCAGCTCGTCAGTGGTAACAGTAGAGGAACCGAGTGAAACAAGGGGGGATGGGAGGGGATTTTAGGGATTACGATGGATCGAGCTTTAACAGGAAGTTTAGGCGGTAGAGAAAGGTACACTCGTACCTCTACGACACCAGGGAAGCCCGCCCAGCTACCTTTCCACTGGGTCTGTCGTCTGCAGATGGATGGGTTCTCCCGGTCCCAGGTCTTCCCTGATCTTTCACGGTGGATTGGCGGCTTGTGGTGGCCGTAGTGGTGTAGCATACAGTGTGCACTATAGCATGCCAAGGTAAACACTGAGCAGCATAACGACAGGGCCTGGCTGACATCTCGTCGAGGGGGTTCACCCTTGCTACAGACTAATCCAAAGACCGGCTTCATCAGGATCAGCCATGGGTCTTGGACATGGATCCCCTAGCGCTCAATGGACTCGCTGTGCTCGGGGGTTTTAAATTGTGCTCTCCGCTGTTTGGACACCCACCACAAATCTAAATAATCTCGACAATCTTGTCACTTTACACATCGGAGGATGTATCTCAAGGCATGAATGACATGTGCCCAGTGTGCCTGTCTTGAGGTACTTTGTACAGATTGTATCCGGGCGGGTCCATGAACAGCAAAGAAGACACCGCAGTCGGTGAACGCAGAACAAAGCCGTACACAGGACTCGCTGGATGTGGTACATGTCAGAAGCCCCGGGGTATCACCCAGCTCCTTTCCCTTAGTTATCTCGTGGTCTTGTCCTGAGGGATTGCCACTGCCAATGCGCATGAGTACGAATATAGTAAACTCGTGGTGGCACCTCGATGTTACTCTAAACATCGCACTACACGTACATGTAAACTAACGCCAGCCTGAGAACCTAGAACAAGTTGCTGCAGACTGGAAGATTGGCAAAAAGAATGCATAGCAAGTCTGGCGGCGGGACAAGGAACCCAGTGCCGCCGCCCCAAAGCACAGGGAACGTGACAATGGCATTGGCTGGTCCCGCAACGGAACCCTTGATTGCCACTGCTACCGATGAGAACCGACGGTAGCAGTCCCTCGACGGAACCAGCTTCTTTTTCACTGTGTTTCCGTGCAAGTGGAATGATGTCCAATAGGTGCCCAAAAGCATTGGATATGGGGGACATCTGGGACGCTGGGACGGTACATACCTTGCGGATACTGTACAGCATCAACCGCTGTACACGTGTAGACTTTTGCTAGAAGCCAGATGAACCAAGCAACCTGCACCCGTATCCGGTGTTCCCTCAGCCGCAGGTACTACCATATACTATAGGGTGTCTTTCGTCAGTCCAGCTCAACGGGGCAAAGAAATGATGACTATACATGGTCACGCGTAATTACAAACCGTTCGTGCTCTGTTGCAAGGTATCCGGATGCTTGATGACGACTTTCGGAGGCTCCTTCTTGGTTCCCGTCGTTGCTGGCTCTCTAGTCCCAGCTAACGGGATGTTAGATACTGATACCCACCGCAGATTTGATGGAGGCTGCGGGACTTGGGGTGGGAGGGTGGATGCCGTGATGGATGTGCGGGAGCGATGAGAGTGGCCGCGTAAAAGACGGGACTCCAGGACCAAGGTTCCGTTATCCCAGGAGGGGACGACACTGGAAGACTGGGCCTCGAATCAGCATCTTCAACATTCGCCCACCCCCCTCCTCCGCCAATGTGTCGTAACAGCCCTTTTGGGTTGCATTCAAAGCTAGCGTGTTGACATGGCTTTGAATAACATCAAGTACCCATCTTAGCTCGCGCTGAGTTTAAGATGATTTGGTAAACAGAAGCTGTTTAGAGACTTGTAGGCATACGGCATGTCTCAAAGAGCAGGAGAAATGGTCTTTGGCACCGACCTCTCTTCATTTCTTGAGGTATATCTGGAAAAGCTTATGGGCGAGTTCACGGTAACCGGCGAAGGCGTACCCCAGCAACTCTGGGACACTAGCTTCATGAGCGTCAGCGAGGAATCCTCATTACAACGGCGGTATGTCAAACAATCTCGAGAAACATCTACCGATAATTTTGCTTTTCACGGTCGACTGCTCTGGCGGGCTATTTCGCATGCCTGCCGACTTGGATGCTGTATGGGAGATCGATCGGGCAGAACGGGCAATCATCATGGCGGGCCTTGTAGTCTTTGCCTGCTTTTACTTAGTGCTTCTGGTTGAGTCCTGGGGCCCTGTCTCACAGCGGGAATCGCACGATAACGCAAGAAGGCTAGCCGCGAACCCTGGGGAAAGGCAGGGAGACAGGATATGGATCGAGTCGAAGATCTTGGCGTTTCTGTTGAAATGTGAATGTTCCGTTGATGAGCATCTTGTTTTCGAGGCCGAGTGCTCTCAGAGTCCCCTTTTCCACACTGCTCTGGCTGACAAATCAGGAACATGCTATTTTTGCTTGCTGTTCATGGTGATTGTGGTTCCTAGTGACCAAAGGAGTGGATGATATGAGTGAGAATCAGAGCCGGCACTCAAGGCAGTCTGCATGGCAAAATGAACTTGAAGAGGGCAACTGAAAGCGACTGTCATGTCTCATGTGTCTCATGCTAACCCGTGTGGTTTGAGTCGAATCGTTGTCAAGTGCAGGTGCAAGTTCGCAACGACGCCACAGCAAGCAGCATTTGTAACAGGGGTAATCGGGCCATTTCAGAGGCTGTCACATGCAAACCGATTTCGTGATTGGAGATTCAGAGAATAATTGTGGGCCGCCCGAGAGCCGGTACATGCGCGGACGAGGAAGGTACCTACCGCTATGCCGAGGATGGCGGGTGGCCTTTCCATCAATCCGTTGGAAGCCAAATTACCTTCTGGCAGCGTTACACAAGACACTTCGACAGTTGCGACTGGCGTCTTTCGCGAGGCTAGCGGGTGGAAGGCCATCCAGAACTGATTTGCTCAATTTCTTCTTGTACACTACCGTTGGCTCACCGGTGAAAGGAAACAAGGAGGACGGCGGCGAACCAGGGTACAAGTCCTTGACGTTGTCCTGCAGTCTGCCAGTTTCCGACCTTCCAGATGGGAGTTGTTGACAGTGCAAAATACTTATACCGCTGCCACGCACTGGTCATCCCCAGACCACCAATATCAAGGTTGAATACTCGGCTCGCGGGCAGACTCGACGACGGCTCGAGGGCAAGCGACTCAACTTCGCAATTCTACCCCCACCCACCGTCGTCTTCCGTCCATCGACCGAATGGGATATCCAATCACCAAGTTCATCTACTCAAACCCCAAGCTCGCCAGGGGAATCGCACCCACCACCTCCACCTTGGCCGAAATGAGTGTGATTGCGACCCGACATGGGTTGGAACATGCCCGGTTGACAGCGACCTCCACGAGACCCTATGCAAGAAATGCCGGAAGAAATGTTCTTTTGAAAAAGCAAAGAGGGAACGCGGAGGGGCTTGATTCAAAAGACATGACATAAGTCATGTTGTACGAGATTGTTATCCTGAATTGGCATCGCGAGTGTGTTCAACGAAGGTTGTCACTTGAACTTAGCGGGCTGTTGTGAGAGTCGCTGTCGCATAGCAGCAAGGCACCGCACTACCTACCCTATCAACCTCATCCACTAAACTCAGATATTAGGTACACTCCTCCATGACCTTGGTATACTTGGCGACTATTCCGTCACACGCAACCACAGCATGTACCCCAGGCTCGGGAATCCTGTAAGGCACAGGGCTGATGCTGCGGCCACCATGGATTAAGGTTTGGCATCACCGAGTCATATCCCAATTTTTGTCGGATCCTCAATCCCATCCCAAGCCCTTTGTAGAAACATCTCCGAGAAAGGGACCTTGAGAGGCTGAAGCATTACAACCTTGGGGCCGCCGCAGGCCGTCGGGCAGCCAAGGAGGATGCACCACACGACAACAACTTGAGCGGGAGTCGCGGGAGCCATCGGCGCCAAGGCACTGTCTCCTTCGACATTCCCTCTCCTCTGTCTGGCCTTCCACGGGGTCATGGAAGCTTCCAACTTCTGTTCAGGTCTCTCACTGCAGGGAAGCCCCCACGCATCTCAACATCGTCCTGTATGGGATGTCGGTCGCATCAATATAAGCAATATACCAACGATCGGGTTTCCACGTGGGGGTTTCTTCCTATCATTTTTTTTGAACAGGCGCAGCAACGACGTACATACTTGGTAGCTGGAGGTATAAACCCGTATAGCGCAGCTATGCGAGCAGCCGCCTAGAAGGTACCGCCTCACGGACGGGTACAACTCTACGGATCTATATCACCGGGGTTTATATATGGCCGTACCGCAACCACCCCGTCCTCATCCAAATACGGGTAGCATGACGCAACAAGGTAAGCGAGATTCAAGTGTTCGGAAACGCCACGCGATAGAAGATCAAGCTGTACTAGGATGGAGAATAAATACAGGGGAGTATTTGTGTTGAAGAGGCACCTATACAGCCACAAACTCATCTCTTAGTGAGCTCCCCCGCGCGGGTTACGAGAGGATTAATAATGCTTCCACTGCACATAAGGTGCTTTGATCTGCGCGGTGATATCCGATCATCAATTAGCTGCTTTCATCGCCCTCATATTCGAAAAAGCGCAAGAGTGTTTCGGGGCAATACACCTCTCCATGTTGGATGTGGGTAGGTTGATGAGGGCATGGCCGGCGATGATGGATAATGTGGGCTGGCCTGTTTTCATACGACTGGTCCGACTATCTCACCATCCTACATCGTGTTTTTGAGATGTTGCTTGAAACTCACTAAGTAGCATCGGCCCTTTCTTAGATCTCGGAAGGCTCTGTGCCCCCCAGTGGGGCCCGCCCTTTGGCCTGGCGGGACGGCATGCCCCGATAGCACCTGCAGAGGCACCGCAACCTGCAATGCGGGGAACGATTCACAAACGAGACTGAACGGTTGCTCTTGCTCCCCGTTCACTGAACGTCACCCGCCCCTGCCGCCGTTTAACCTACGCGCACGGCAGCAAACGTGACCGTACCTGAAGCACTGCATCAACTTTTCAACAAGCGCCTAAGCCTTGACCGTCGACTGAGTGGCAACTTTCGTGACCGCAGCAAAACTTTTCCTATCAATTCGATCACCGCAGCCACCGTTGAGGGTTACCTCACCAACCGTTTTCTCGACACAACCTCTCATCATGGCTAAATCGGATTTCGATAACGCCAATCCCACCGTCCTTAGTGTTTCACAACTGCCCAGTAGGAGTCAAGTGAAGGGCCATGTGAGAAAGGGCCCGGATTCCAAGTATGACCACATCCTGTTTCCGAAGCAGTGGTGGGCAGGAAGCTCTTTGAACAGTGACCCATCCGTGTGGACATCGGACGAGGACGAGGACGACGACTTGGCTTTGGCGACTGAGGAACCCATTGACGAGCAAGAAATCTACGGTAAGAGTTACGCCCCATCAAGCTGCACGTGCATGGCAAGGCGCAGTTCATGTTTCAACCGCTTGTCTCGGTCCTCTCTGTTCTATTTTTACAAGCAACCAACACTAGTGATCAGACGGCTGATGTCTTCTATTAGACCTGCTATCAACCATATCGGACCCTGAACATCCCGTCACCCTGGGCCAAATCGCCGTCGTCAGACTCGACGACATTCACCTTAGTCCATCACCCGCCGAGCGTCTAGATCCAAACACCTTGACCAATGTCGAGGTTGATCTTACGCCCACAGTGAACCACTGTTCTCTGGCGACTGTCATTGGTCTTGCCGTACGTGTCCGACTCGAGAACGCTCTGCCTCCCAACTACCGCATCATTGTCCGCATGAAGGATGGCTCCCATGCCCAGGATGACCAGGTGAACAAGCAGCTGGGAGACAAGGAGAGAGTTGCCGCTGCTTTGGAAAACGACACCCTGAAGGGCATCATCGAGAAGATGTTGGAGACTTGCGTCTGAGAACAGCCCAGACATGGGAGCCCCAGAGGTGTCCATTTCCAGCAAATCATCATACACATTCCGATGACTTTCCGGGCTTGACGGACGCGGCGGTGTATCGTGAGATTGTATCGACAGGGTCCTTATTCGTCACCGTCGGCAACGCCATTCCATATACGACACGTCCTCATCATGGGGCACACGCGTGGCTATTCGGTATGTGGGGAAGCTGTGGATGAATCGATATGATGATGCGAGACATCGGCCAATTCTGATACCTCCCGCCGCCTTTATTGATGTTCAAATTTCCCAACCCAGGGCTGAGCACTCTGTTGCCCATGCAAGTTCAGGGACACAGGGCCAGCAACTATTCCAACCCAAGCATCGGGATTGCAAGCTCCAGGGGTTCAAGATTGAAAGGCACGATGTCACCTGGCATTGCATTCCAATCTTGGGTGGCGGTCATGGACGGTTCATGCGGTGAAGCCCATGTCCCTGGCACTCTACCAAGGGCGTAGGTCAAGACTCTCTGCGGTAGTTATGATGATAGAAAAGGCGCCACACCTTACTTCTCTTTTGGTCCTTTTGCATAAAACCAATCTTTACTCTTTGTACGAATCTCAGTTAGTGCCCATGTACTCGCCGCCAAGCCCGAGGATCTTCGAACTTCATACTGACGGAGTTGACTTGGTAATTACCGAGCTGGCCCATCCATCTGAATATAACAAAATCAACAAAGGTTCAGGAGCTATTTTTCAGGGGTGAATGGTGATTTAAACTGTGTGATAGGAAGAACGAAGGGGTCACTGTCGAAAAAACACCGCCTACATCCCCCGACACCCGGGGTCTACCACAACTGGTTCATTCAACCATGGCTCAGGTAATCGGTGTTGAGGATGCGGGCGTTAAGGACCCCACTTTCCGTTGATCGACGGAACCCATGTGCTTTATGAACTGATCTGCCTACATGATGTGGACAGAGCCCGCTCGAAGTTGACGAATTCACACGAGACTAGTTGCTATGATTCGCATTCGGGTCCTCTAGTCAAGTGGGTAGGGAAGGGAAACAACAGAGCCCTGTGCACCCTGTGGTCGCTCACAACTTCAAAAGACAAGGACGTGGGGGACACCAGGGCATCTTGATCCTCTACGCACGCTGTACTCTCATAAGTCTCGTCGAGTGTGTTTCCAAACCACCACGCCAAGCCCAACACAGAAAGTCTCAACATTTCAATACAGCCTACGTTTCAAACGTGACTGTAAACTTCCATTTCCCAGTTTATGATATAGACCCCTGCGACACAAAGAGGATTGGGCGTGGTTACGTTACTAATTGTTCCTGCCCATGTGCACAACATAGGTCTAGGCAGATTAGCGTCGTGGGCCACATACCAGTGTATAAATGCCAGTTACACACAGTTTCTCTAAATCTCCTACCCACCTATTCTACACACTCATCTCCTTTCAACTTCAATGCTTCCGCGCCTCTGCGGACACTGCGAAACTTTCACTCCACCATTTCACTCACATTAGCGTAGTATACCTGTGCAATGACTAATGTGGGTAATTGTCGATAAACGCTTCTATCCAACCGCATATCGTCGAGGAGCAAAATACGATACAATCACCACCTCCATATGTCGACGAGCTAGTGGCCGTTGAGTCCATTCCTCTCTAGTTAGTGATTGACACACTTTCTAGGCATCGAGGAACACTTAAACGAAAACAGAAGATCGTACTTTTGCTCATGTTCAACCACTGAACCTTCAGTAAAAGTCACCGAAGTCACCACATCCAGTCCACACACACTATACTCGATACAGACGTAGTGTGGTGTTCAAGGACCAAGTGGATAACATCAATATCCCATTATGGGCCTGAGGGGCCCTGCTGGGGGTGTGTTGACCCCATCAACATCCTCCACCAGGAACCAACGAGCCTCCATCCGCATCGAATCCATTCTGTCAGCCTGCTGTTCGCTTCATTCATGTCCCGAGTCTTTTTCCCCATGTCCATCCATGCAACCGGGCCTTGTGCCCCCGAAAGATGCCCGGACCAAAATCGCCATCCATCCATCCACGATTCCACTTCTTCAAAATCTAAACCTAAAACTACATGATTATCAAACGATCAGCAAAGGCTGCGCAAAATTGATGTATCTTTACGGACATCGGTACCGGGCCGGGCCGGGAAAGCGCGAACACCCCCCTTCCCTCGTTTTCCTTCCCCCCAAGCCCGAAAACTCGAGTAAACCTGGCACTAGGTAGGTTTCCGTTCCACTATCCATCTTGTCCTATTGAATTTCTCAGCCGAGGAAGGTTTGAGCGAGAGGGTCCGAGGCGATATCCATCCATCCGCTACGAACCACCGCAATACGAGATGTCTACCCACGAAGTTAAGAACACACTATGATTACACTAGCTACACTAGAAGCAGAGAATAACTATAGACCAAACCAAACCTTCCGCGTCTTCACTGACATCACACCGTAGTGTAGTTGTACAGACATCGGTGCCGAACACGGCAAGAAAAAGAAACGATAATCGTACAAACCCAGCAATTATTTATGGCGTAAAGGCCGAAGAGTGCGATAGGTCGGTCATGGTTGACTGCCACGATACCACGATAAAAACGAGTGGTAGGTAGCGGTAAGAGAGAACAGCACCTCGAAGCCTCCTCACCTTGCTGCTCATTCGGCATATACTTCTACAGAATTGGCAGCGGTACTTTGCGAGTGTACACAATCTACGGTAAATACCTACGACTGACAGGGACTGTTGACTATGTACACTGGATATGTAACATGCATGATACCATCTACTGGAGCGTTTCCCCGGCGCTTTTCCCGCTGTAACTGCACTGCACCGTGGCATGAGGCCGAATGCTTGATCGTTCCCTTTCTTGTTCTCCTGCTCTTTACATACTAGGTCTAGCTAGTCAGACAGGCCGATTTTGTCGTCCTGATGAGTAGTACCCTTTCTCTTGACCATTCACTTTTGTTTTTGTCCGCATATACCTAGATATCATCACATTTCAGCCAGCAAGCAAGCAAGCAAGCAGGTCACTGAAGTGACATCTAGATGTATGGACAGTTCTCAGAAATTTTTTTTTTACTTTTATTTTCTTAATTTTTTTAAGAACCTAGAAATGAGATAAAAGACAACGCGCGGCAACAAACCAGAATTGTACGGTTGTGGCTACCCTCGAAGGAAGGAAGAAACTATTTGACGCCAGGTTGGCGACTAATGATCTTGCATACTCTACTTTTGACCTTTGGCCACATTCTTTAGTGACAAGATCTTTTGCGACCAACGTTGCATGTATGTTGACATTACTTTGGAACATTTTTTCCTTTCTTATGCTTTTCTCACTCCCAGTCGTGTAAATTTTGTCTTGCAATGGAACCAAGAACGCCCCTTCCATCGGGAATGCCTAGGCTGCCTCTAAACCAGTGATTGCCACCTTCGTCACCTCACTACACGCCTCAAGCCTCGCCAAGAGTACCGCTCTCTATCAAGCTCTGGTAAAACTCGGGCTCCAAGAACTTGGCCACACTGACATCCTCGCTCAAGCCCTTGCGCCTTCTCGTCTTCAGCACAAAGTCTCTCGCCGTCGCCTGCGCGTTAGCCATCTGCAGAGGACGCAGGACAATCTCCTTGTCGAGCGGATCACCTGGCACAATGTTCCACCTGTCAAATACTAGACTGACCATGGCCTGGCCGGGCGTATTGATCCTCAGGTCGGTTTCGAAGCCGAAACTGTCGATGACAGGTAGCAGGCCGTTGACACGGTAAAGTGGGGTGCCGGCAATGGGACCGTCGGAGAGGACGTGGCCGCGACGGCGAGCCAGGATGTTGTAAACGGTGCTGACGGTGTCCTGAGGGCCGGTCATGGAAACCGAGTACATGGGCTCCATCAAGCGAGGCGAGGCCATCAGGAACGAGCTGTAGCAGGCGCGGCGGGACGTGGGGATGATCTGACCACCGCCACGGAAGATGGCCTCCTGGGCAAGCGATACGTCGATGAGACGGAACTTGGTATTGCGTATTGCTGGTTTCACAGGACAGGTTAGCAATCAGAAAACATGAGGCGGGATATGTGAATGGCGTGGGATGAGAATGTCCAGAAGCGTGACTGAACAGTTCCTGAGCCAGAACCGCTGAGCCAATGTTGGCCGAGGTGGTATCCGGAAGGTGCCTCATCGTTGCAGTTCGCAATCTTTCGGGACCCCCTCCGCGTGTGAACGCCCAGACCCTCCTGTTGACCAGGGCATCATGCATTGGCAAGAAAAGGGACCAAAGCATGGGGTGGAAGCTGCACATGCAGCAGTACCCTGCTTGGAATCCCCTTCCCAGCTGCCATTTTAAGCAGGTCACTGGAGCCCCCATACTGCAGGTCCTTCACAGATGGTGTCAAGTGCGGCCAAACATGCAGCCTCTGAAGAAGTGTGACTGCACAGGCTCGCGGGAGTCGAATGCAAGACGTTCAAAAAAGGAAAAGAGAAAACTTACGCTCTTCGCAAAGCGGGCCTTCACGGACTGCCCAACTGAAACCTTGGCGAATGGACTCCTTGACTGTGTTGAGTCGCTTCTTGTCAACCTATACATCGTGTCAGTCGCAAGTTGTAAAAGGCCCGATTCCGACGATCAAGGCAAGAAATGGGGTAAGACGGCAGCTAGTGTCCCGACTATCGAAAGGGAACTCGCAACTGACCTCTGAGGGTAATGTGTCGTCCTGCAAGATATTGGGCCCCATCTCGTCTGGACCGAAAGCCCAGATACTCCTGGCTGCGAGGAGATCCCAGCCATACTTTTCCTCGAAGAACTTGGCGGTCTTTCGTACAGGATCCCGAATCTTGACTGCCCCTGACTCAATGTCTTGCGCGATGCCATCCTCCAATGGTTCCGCCACCATGGTAATGGTGTTCTTCTTGTTTGGCGTGATGGCGTAGCATTTGGTTGCGGACATGTCCTGTACGGTCTCACAGAAGCGTACCACAGGATCTGATACCCTAACCTCCATATCGGCATAAAGACGGCGTAGATCATGCAATACGCAATCCATGTATAGCTCGCCAGTTCCAAGAATAATATGCTCTCCCGATTCTTCCACCTTGGTGGTAATTAAGGGGTAGCTCTTGTTGATTTTTCTGATGCCGTCAAGCATCTTGGGTAGTTCGGACGGGTTGATGGGCTCAACAGCAACCTTAAGAACGGACTCTGTGAAGTGTTGAAGAGGCTTGAAGATGTACGTGTCCTCGTCATCCTCGAACTTTTTCTCCACAATAGTGGCAGTCTTCACGATTGAGTTGTCCACGCCACCCAACAAGACCCAGTTACCAGCGGGCACGCCGTCGGTTGGGATGTTGTATCGTGTCTCAGCAATGAAAACATCAGATATCCTCGCCATGGCCATATCTTCTTCGTCGTCGATGGAATAACCCTCACCAAGGACGCGTACCTCTGTGCCAGGGCGCGCAATACCGCTCATCACACGACCAAAAGAGTAGAAGCTCTTGGCGTCGGGAGCACTGAACAGCTTCGATACGTACAGCACAAGTGGGCCATTCTGGTCGCAGTTCAGCATAGACTCAGCAACCTTGCTGTCCAGAGGGCCTGTGTAGTACTGTTGGAGCTTTTGCTTTGCAGCCTCAGCCGGTGATGGGATATGCTGACAGACCATGTCGACGAACCCGGTAGATGGCCCAAAGAACTGCTCGCACACCAACTTCAACAAGACTTTGGGGTCGGTCTTGTACTGTGATGGTTTGAGCTGGATGCCCAACTTCTTCAAAGTGCCCTTAAGTTCCTCCGGACTTTCACTAATCGTATGCGAGTACAACTTGTAAATCGGCTCCATGATGAAGTTGACGAATGACCTCTTGGCTCCTTCCTCGATGGGTTTCCTGGTGAAAGTTCGCTTTTGCGGGTTGTAGTAGATATCTCCCCAGAGGCGTCTCGCGAACTCTTCCGAGTTGACACCACCATAGCTGTCCGAGTACATTTTGGCGAATGACTGAAGAGTGAAGCACCAGCCCATGGACGTGCAGGCAAACAGAACATTTCCCTTCTCCGGACTTAACCTCCGCTCTTCACCCCGGCCGGGAATTGTGTTCTCGATAATAGTGTTGACTTCTTCGATCACATGCTTGAGTTTGTAGTAGGCGTCATATGGTGGTAGCTTGAGCTCGAGAATCAACCGGTCCATCTTGTTGACAATCAGCGTGAGTGGGATGTTCTCCAAGACGGCGTGCTTGATGATTTGTTCTGTGTTGACCTGCACTCCCTCCACGACATCCACCACCAAACAGACACCGTCCACAAGCCTGAGGGAGGCCGCGACTTCGTCGACAAAATCTACATGACCTGGCGTGTCGATCATGTTGAAGAGGTGTGATTTTCCTTTTGTTCCTTGGAGGACCAAGCTCATGGGCGATGCCTTGATGGATAGCCCCCGCTCCCGCTCGAGAATATGGATGTCTGTGTACCGCAGCTGTTCATCACGCTTCTTTCCCGTCCGCTTCTCGAGTCTGTCCGCGATGTCGTGCGTCTCCAACACCAACATGTCCATGAAGGCCGTCTTTCCGTGGTGTAGATGTCCAGCAAAAGCGACGTTGCGAATCTGTTCGGGGAAGTTCATGAGATCGGTCATGAATGTGCGGTCGAAATATACGTTCGGGAGGTCTGCTTCTTCGATGCTGAACTTCTTTTGCTCGACTGGTGCGATAATCGGTTGTGTTAACGGTTGCGCATCCTCCTCCTGAACCAGAACCTCTACGCCCTCGCCATAAACTTGTGCCGCTGTCGGGTAGTACTGCTTGTCTTCGTGGAGAACAACGGCGTTGGAGGGCCCTTCATCGTCGACATCCATCATCTCCTGAGCCGGAGCTTCGGGGGCCTCTTCTGGGTAGTCATCGTAAACGTAGTTGCCAGCGTCGACGCCATGTTCGGACTCTTCCTCGGAGGCTTCAGCATCTCCGCTACAAGTCAATAGTTAGCACCGCCCACGAGAGAGTACCAGAAAACCAAAAAGAGGAAGTCGGCCCCAAAGGAAACGAAGACTTGACCAAGCTACAGCCCACAGACAGACCACCCTTCCGCAAAGTGACGACATCATAGAGACGGTATGGTACTTACATAAAGTTTCCGAACTCGTCATACAGATCGTCGTCCATTGTGTATTTTTGATTATGGATACGCGTCACTCCAAAGCCAATTCGTCTCGAAAAGGTTTCGTCGCGTTGTTGGAGCAATGGAAAGTTTAAAGATCGCGACTGGGACGTTTGCCAGATTTTCGTCGCTGTCTTTCTGCAAGGTTGATGTCAACCAGTGATGTCTCGCCGCGACGCGCAGTGGACCAGCTTCGACCGTGTAGGTAGCGCTGGAAAGTCGGAGACCCTCTGAAACTGAAAGGGCAAGAGTTTAGTGATATAGTCTAGTCTTTTAGTGATTGTGGCGTTAGCTTCCGTCCTGCGCCAACAGGAAGTGGCTGGTGCGCAGATCCACCATTGCTTCTGCTGTGTCATCCCTCTCAGTCTCCGCATCTCCGTTATCAGATCATCTGATAAAAATTTGCACGCAAGGGATGGCACCATAGCCGCAACTTCCAACATGGCACCAGTATGCAAGCAGATTCCCACAGCGGACCGCGTCAGGAACGGCTCACGCTGTCGTGCTGTCCCTCAGGGTTCACGTCTTAAACTCTCAAACTCCTCCACAATCGCCCTTGCACAAGTTGCCACATCCCAGTCAACAAAGATGCGTATAGAGATATCATTGGAAGAGAGCAAGTTGCCCCCGGCATCGGACACCACTTGTCAAAGTCTGGGAGGGTCCATCTGGTTCCTGAAGATCGGCGCTTTTCCGGATAAAGACCGATAAGAGCTCGCGTCGAAGGCGGTGTGAGGACCAGAGGCGACAGGTCCCCGTCGTCTCAACAATTTCCCGTTTCCTGTCCCTCCGTCCAAGAGACGATCCTGGTAGACACGGGCTAAGCTTTATTAAAACAACGCTTCCCTCCTCTCTACTCTTCCTCCCTAGCTTTGCCCGGTTCCATTCCATAATCTTTAATACCAAAACCTTTCTCTACTCAACTCCAAAGTTTCCAAGCTGGCCATCATGTCTTCCGGTCTTCCCTCCGTTTACATCGTTTCTGCCGCCAGAACCCCTGTGGGGTCCTTCCTTGGGTGAGCTACCCCGCCATGTCGACTAACCTCCCAGAGCTGCTGTCAGGGCAACACCGGAGGGACAAAGCGCGAACGAAGTGTTGCTAACATGGTTGGACTTGTAGCCAGCTTTCCAGCTTTTCCGCTGTGCAGCTTGGTGCCCATGCCATCAAGTGTACGTTTGAATCAGTTTCGACAGGATTAATAAGCCGGAAGAGGTCATTGACTAACAACCATATCTAGCTGCCGTTGAGCGTGTCCCCGAGATCAAGGCTGAGGATGTTGAGGAAGTCTTCTTTGGCAATGTCCTTTCCGCTGGGTATGTAGTCATTGTTTCCTTTATGCGCAACGAACGCGCCACCGTGGCTTGGTCCTGGAAGGACACAATGCTAATCAGCTGTCCTTATCCTCCAGTGTCGGCCAGGCCCCTGCCCGCCAATGCGCCCTGAAGGCCGGTCTCTCGAACAAGGTTGTCGCCACCACCGTCAACAAGGTGTGCGCTTCCGGCATGAAGGCCATCATCCTTGGCGCCCAGACCATCATGACTGGCAATGCCGATATCGTTGTCGCCGGCGGCACCGAGAGCATGTCCAACGTCCCCCACTATATGACCAACCTCCGCACTGGCGTCAAGTACGGTGACGGCGGCCTTGTCGACGGTATTCAGGCCGATGGTCTCCGTGATGCCTATGGCAAGGAGCTCATGGGTGTCCAGGCCGAGCTCTGCGCCAAGGACCATGAGCTGAGCCGTGAAGCCCAGGACGAGTATGCCATCAACTCCTACCAGAAGGCCCAGGCCGCCACCGAGGCTGGTCTGTTCAGGAAATTGTTCCTATCGAGGTCCCTGGTGGCCGCGGCAAGCCTGCCATCAAGATTGACCGTGATGAGGAGGTCAAGAACCTCAACATCGAGAAACTCAAGTCTGCCCGTACCGTCTTCCAGGCCAAGGATGGTACCGTCACTGCTCCCAACGCCTCCCCCATCAACGATGGTGCCGCTGCCGTTGTTCTTGTCTCCGAGGCTAAGCTTAAGGAGCTTGGTATCAAGCCCATCGCCAAGATCCTTGGTTGGGGTGATGCCGCCCACGAGCCCGAGCGCTTTACCACTGCCCCTGCTGTCGCCATTCCCAAGGCCATCAAGCATGCCGGTATCAAGGAGGAGGACGTTGATTTCTACGAGATCAACGAGGCCTTCTCTGTTGTCGCTCTCGCCAACATGAAGATCCTCGGCCTTACGCCTGAGAAGGTCAACGTCTACGGTGGCTCCGTTGCCATCGGCCACCCTCTTGGCTGCTCCGGTGCTCGTGTCGTCACTACTCTCACCTCCGTCCTGGCTGAGAAGAAGGCCAAGATTGGCTGCGCTGGTATCTGCAATGGTGGCGGTGGTGCTTCTGCCATCGTTATCGAGAACCTGCAGTAAGTGGCTGGCGCTTGTGTCTTGATCGTTCTATATACCCACATGTTTTTCCACATGGCTCGCGGGGCAGAGTTTGGAGAACGGAAAAAAGCATATACACCTTGTGTTTACCACATAAGGATGACATTCTAATAAAAGATTTTGATGATTGATGATAGATCCGCAGCCAGCCTGCCCTTCGCTAAGTCAAGCCTCTAATATTACCAAATACCCAACACATATTGCGGGAGACCTTTGTTTGGCCTGGTTCAATATACGGCTACCATCTGAGGTGGTCATAACTTCTGAACTTATGATCAACCCCAAACCATTGCTCTCGTACTCATCAAGTGAGTTTGATTTACACATGGTATATATGTAATTCAAACCTTAGTTAAATGCACCAGTGATGGCACGCTTGCTCATGCACTTGGCCGCCACGCCTTAATACAACTGTCCTCTCCGGCGGTAAATACTACCTGCTGCTCATCAACAAAGCAGAAGCTGCGAACAATTTCCGACCCATGTGCCCCTGGAAGACCTACCACAGTCTCACTATCCAGGCTCCAAGAAGCACCATTCTTGGATAGATGGATCAACCGGAACAGCTCTTGACTATTTATCCCCAGACACGTGGTTAGCCCATACTCAATAGCTGATTCGGACAAGAAGGTACTCACTCCTGTGTTCCAGCACCAATAACGGCCCCAGCACCCGTCACCTTCGGAATGACGTTGCACAAATACTGGCAGTTGACCACCTTGCGGATGTCGCCCAGGTCAAGCGTCGGCGACCCCTTCTCGACCGTCTCGCCCATGTCGTATAGCGCGAACTGCTCGTCGTGAGAGACGGCATACACCTCAGTCTCGTTCAGGAAGCCGGCCCGGTGCACAGAGCCGTGGTTAAACGCCGCGATCACCACCTCGTCCTCGTCCGTGATGCGCGTGTCGCACACGTTGACGAGACCGTCGGTCGAGCCGGTCAGGAGAAGGTGAGGGTTGGAGGGGTGGAAGGAGAGCTCGGTTACGTCGTCGGAGTGGACTTCGTCGTAGTGGATTTTGGAGGCGGAGGGGGAGCGGAGGTCCCTTTTTGGTGGACAGTTAGTGAGATTCTAGTCTATTATGGTCTGAGGTGTTCGTTGGGTGAAGTCTTACCATAGCAAAATGGAAGCTTGATGATTAGCCAGTTCCGTGCCGGCAGCTAACGTGTTTGTCTGTTCCGAACAGGCAAGCGACAGCAAGCCGGGACCTGCCCCTGGTGTGCCTATTTGCAATGCCGCTGTGCCGGTTCTCATATCCCACAGCAAAACCGTCCCGTTCTCGCCTGCTGTAGCAACGACCGAGTTTCCGACGCTGAACGCTTCTGCGCAGCTAATGTTTCCATGGTTGGTTTGAACTTTCTTGAGCGGTCCCTGGTCCAGGCGCAGGGGGTTGAAGATGGAGAGACTCTGGTCAGAGCCGACCGCTGCTAGGCCGGCGGAGACGGGGATGATGTCTGTGATGTAGGTCGGTTCGGAACCGGGGTATTTGAACCCGTCGGTGCAAGAGAGGGCATACATATTGACCGGTGTATGTCCCAGTATGGTCGATTTTCTGTTGCTATGATCCTTGGAGACAGAGTTCTCAAAGATTTCTCTCGAAGCTGTATAAGTCGATGTAAGCTGTGCGAAGGTTTAGTCTTGAGATTTTGGCTATCCGGATCTACCCGCCCGCGGTACTCACATGGAACCAAAAGTGAATAATTCCAGTTACAATAAAGGTAGGCTAGTTTCAATATGTCACAATGAACAGATGCTCAATTTCCAATCCTTTTTATCCTCGTGGTCGGCAGTTGAATCTTGAAATGATAACTTCTTACAATAAGCGCACTTTGAATCACAAGTCGTGGCAGCTGTCTGCCAGCTGTGGACTGTCCAATCCAAACAGGTACGCCACAAATGACGGGCGGTGCACGGCCGTTGAATCTTGAACTCTGCGGGTAGGAGACCAGACCCCTGTTGAGCTCTAGAACGATTACGAAATGGGAGTCGAAGCTCCCATCTTGGATTCAATCTGGACAGCTGGTATCATGAAAGCAGCTGCCGTGGACGCTACACTATACACTGCCCTATAGGTGTAGCTACTGGTAGTGACTGCCCCACGATCTGTTGCCCTCTGCTGTTGTTCACGTTCACCTCCCTCTAAATCGGGTGCTTGTGTCCAGTTGGCCTAACCACGAATACTTTCAACATTTGTTTCGTCTTTTTTTGGTTCCCAATACAACGGACAACCACGGACTGCAAATAACGTTATTGCTGACGATCGGTTGCTTATACATCACGAGTCTGATAATGGCATGATTCTTTCCTTTGGGTTTGCCTCTACTACTTTTCCCAAGAGTCGACAACCATGAGGCGCTTTCTCCTGTACATATCCCGTATGCTTGCAAACCCCAGGCCACTCTGCTCTCCTGGAGCGCCAGACACTGACATCATTGTCCCCCAGTGCTATTGCAGGTCGTTGTGTTCTCCCACGCGAACGCGCCAGACAACCAACAACATGTACTTTCTGGAGATAAATCGAATGGAGCAACAGTCAACACACTCCCCGCTGAGCTTCCTGCCGGACAGCATGTTCAACCAGGTATGCCCACCTGAACAAAGACGAAAGCGCAGGGCTGGAAGGACAAGTTGCTGACAGACAATCAGGTGCTGACCTCGTCGACACCGCTCTGGCCGAGTTACGAAAGCTACACCAACCGTTGCATCATAAGATACGAAAGAACCCCGGCATTTTGAAAACTGTTCTACATTTTGCTACCAAAGCATTACCGGCCGTCCGACTTACTGCTCCCTCGCCCTCTCCCTCCAACGATGGCCTCAGTGGCCCGCTCCTTCATGCGACCAGGCTCCTCGAGGAGTCTGCGCAGAAGAACAATTCCGATGCGCTTTATATCCTGGGCGACATGAACTTCTACGGCAACTTCTCCTATCCCCGGAATTTGAAGACCGCCTTCGATTACTACCAGAAGCTCGCCTTGCTCAATGGAAACAGTTCGTCAATGTACATGATGGGAGTCATGTACTCTACGGGAGTGGGAGGCGCAGTGGAGCTGGACCAGGCCAGGGCTTTGCTCTATTACACCTTTGCTGCCAACCAAGGCCACACGAGGGCCGAGATGGCTGTGGCACATCGTCACTATGCGGGGATTGGAACTACCAAAAGCTGCGAGACGGCGGTCAAATACTACAAAAGGGTCGCCGATAAAGCCATTGCATGGTATCGTTCGGGACCTCCAGGTGGCATGAGCTGGATCTCGGAATCTCATCGTATTGCCGACGAGCTTGGAGGTATATACGGCGCAGGAGCTAGTGTGTCCAGTTCGGGTCAGAATGCGCCTCACAAAAACCCGCCCACTGACGCATCGTCTTCTATCGAAGATATTCTCGAGTACCTTGACCTGATGTCTCAGAAGGGCGATGTTAAAGCCACCTTCAACCTTGGTCGTATATTTTACGACGGCCAGAGAAACCTCCCGCGCGACTACGCTAAAGCTAGGGAATATTTCCTGAAGGTGACTGGTAAGACCTGGAACAAGAAAGGACAGGTTTTCGAAAACAAGACGCCCAGTTTTCACACTATTAGTTGCAGAGCAGCTGGATATGTTGGGCGCATGTATTTGCGAGGAGAGGGTGTTGAACAGAACTTCAGGCTCGCCGAGTTCTGGTTTAGGCGCGGCAATGAGCAAGCTGACCAACAGTCTCGCCATGGACTCGGACTGATGTATCTGAATGGTTACGGCGTGGAACAAAATCTCGACCTGGCCCTCAAGTACTTCAATGCGGCAGCGGAGACTGTATATCCGCCTTCTCATGTGCAGCTCGCTGCGCTTTACCTCGATCAAGGTCAGTCGGATGAGGATATCTACGCAGCAAACCACCACCTGGATCTGGCGGCGAAGTACTACAATATGGAGGCATATTACTATATCGGAGAGATGACCTATTTCGGTCTTGGCCGCGAAAGATCATGCGAGATTGCGCTTAATTACTACAAAGCTGTCACGGAGAAGGTAGAGCCGTTTGTCTCGTCTTGGGCTGAGGCGAACTTGGCCTTCGAAGCGGGCGAGACTGAGTTGGCATTCCTCGAATACCTGCACGCGGCAGAACAAGGTTACGAAACGGCCCAGAACAACGTCGCATATATCCTTGACCCTCAGAAGTCCTACTTGACTATCCCGCAGTGGCTGTACCCCAGGGCCCAGAAACCGGCACTTCTTCAAAACCCAGCGCTCGCACTCATCTACTGGACACGATCGTCAAGGCAAGGCAATATTGATGCTACTGTCAAGATGGGCGACTACTACCTCAGCGGGATAGGAACGGATGCTGATGTCGACAAGGCCGTTCAGTGCTATACTGCCGCTTCAGAACATTATCAGAGCGCGCAGGCATTGTGGAACTTGGGCTGGATGCATGAAAATGGCATTGGCTTAACTCAAGACTATCATCTTGCCAAGCGGTATTACGACACTGCTCTCGAAACAAACGACGAGGCATATCTGCCAGTCTCTCTTAGTTTGTTGAAGCTGCGGGCCAGAAGCGCCTGGAACACTTTTACTAACGGCCGGATCAACTCTATCCAAGACGAGCCAAGTGAGTATCATCCCCTGACCTGGTACATATCGAAGACACCCAGCTAACAATCAGCAGCCGAGAAAAAAGAATGGTCGCTTAGTGAATGGATCAATAACTTCTTACAGGATGAGATGGGCTATTACGGAGATGACATGTATGACGGCTACGAGGATGCGATGCCCGGTGCCGATTCTGATCTGGGCGCATTTGAGGAAGGAGACATCCTGGAGACGCTGGTGATTATGGGTCTCGCTGCTGCTCTTGTCTTCTTGGTACTGTACCGTCAACAGCGACAGCAAGCAGCTCGGCGACAGCAGGAGGATGAGCAAAGGCGTCAACAGCAAGAGCAGCAAGGCCAAGGCGTTAGAGGAGCTGGCGGAGCGTTTGCTAACGGCCAACAGCAACCACAGGCAGGAAATGGGGGTTTCTTCCCTCAACCTGGCGCGCCGGGCTTTGGGCAATGGGCTGTTGGTGGCGTGGGCCACTAGGCAGCTGGCTGGCATGCCTTTGCAAGTTTTTATCTCACCTTCTCTCTGCATCGTTAGTCTTTACCACGAGCGGTGTTCTTGAACAATTACTGAGCGATGGCGCATGGGGAATGGAATACGTACACTGTATACTACAACAGACGTTAGACTGGTCAAGGTTGAGTGAGGGTAGTCATACAAACAACCGTTCTTGAACAAAGGGCCGATGTTAATGTTAGTGCGTGAGGTTACCCGCTACATCTTCAGGCTATGGGCCGTTTGGCACAACTTGGTGGCTAACCAGAAAAATTGAGGCTGGAAATCAATCAACACGGTAAATAACAGCCATCCTGTCTTGTCATTTGGGCCTGAAGAAACTTTGAAGATGCAATGCGGGACATACACTTTGTGTGTTTTCGTGAGTACCTTTTTCTGCACGGGCAGCTGCTACAGCAGGAACTACGCGCTTAACACACCTCACACACTTCCTATCCGCAGTAGCCAAGGCAACTATAGCGGACCTGCGGGTAACACCTGCACCTAGAGGTACTTACCATCCCGTCACTCGGTCTGCCTCTAACTAACCTAACATCTCCGTTCGTTTGCTATGCAGGTTCTTCTCACCTCACGCTTTCGACCACGCTTCATCATTCTCCGTCGATTCAGCCGTCACGCAACAACCTCAGCGAATACAAGAATGCAGCCAAAGGCAATCCGGTACTAACCTCCGTGAAGATCGATTTCTTCACTGCCCAACCGGCCCGCAGTCCCGAATTCACCAACCTTCTCACGCAGAAGATGTCCTCTCACTCAACACCGGGGCCAGCAGCCAAGCGTCGCCGTGTCGAGTTGGCGAACGCTACTTTGCGGAAACCGTTTCGTTCTCCCATGATTAACCGCACAAATTCCGGTGCAAAGTCAGCAGATCCTACGCCGACGAGCCAAAGGGAAACGACGGAGCTCCGGGCGGCTGCGGGTAGTAATGGTGCCGCCGATGTCGGGGGAGGAGAAGAAGAAAAGGTCGAAGAAGAAGAGGAAAAGGAAGAAGAACCAGACACAAGTTTTGAAGCGAGTTTCGAAACAAGTTTTTCCTCAATGCCAATGCCAGCAGCGAGAAAATTCTCAAAAAGCAGTCTTCATCATAGTGGCTCAAGCGCTTCTGGTTCCAGTTCGAGTACACAATGGAATACGAGGCCACCACTTCTGGATTTGAGTAACATGCAGACGCAGAAGCAGGAACAGGAGCAAGTTCCACGGGCCACCGGATCTGCTATCAGTCGGAAGCGAAGCAGCCTCGGGTCAGGGTCTACTGCTTTCTCTGATACTACTCCTATGCGTCCCCCGGTTAATCAACAAAGGCACACAAAAGGAACGACAGTTGTGGATGCAGTTGGTGATGGCAATGACGACATCTTGGCCGGACTGCAAAAGTCTCACAGGGAGCACAAAGTTCATTTGGTCGCAATGCAAAAACAGTTGGATCTTATCAGGCAGGCGAAGCGGATTGAGATGGCATCACGGAAGGCTGTGGAGCAACGGCAGGACGCAACAGTGAAGAAGAAGAGCGGTGGCGGGAATAATGGACAGCATGGGGACGAAAAATCGGTCATTGACGCAGAGCTGAAAGAGCTGGTACAGAAATGGAAGCTTGCGAGCAGACAGGCGGCAGAGGAACTGTTTGAGCTTATCAAAGGCAGGGTGGCGGATATGGGCGGGGCCAAGGCGTGGAGGGAGACGAGGAGGAGACAGATGGAGGGGCTTCATTCTGCTTGGGATGATGAGGGGCAGAAGGGGAAGAAGAGAAAGGGGGGCGATGATGAGCGGGAGATTGGAGACTCCGATGCCAGTGATGGTGAAGGTTGTGACGACAACAACGAGAGACTTCGACGGGGAGCTGGAAACAATGATGACGGTGAGCGGAGTGCGGAAGAAGACTGCGAGGACTCGGTAAGGTTATTGTGGCAAAGGTGAGTGTCACTGACAGACAAAAGGGGGCTAACTTGACGCACGTGTTGCTTCTAGGGATTTACCATGTTCATGATGCTGCAAAGCCTCAACATTGAGCCTGACATCTTGGGGTACGATCCGAACGAAGACAAATGGCTGGATTAGAGGCCTACTACCCTTTTATTAAGGGCAATGGAGAGAAGAAGAAAAAAGAGCAAAAGGGAACCTAGGAGGTGCCATCTGGCCCCCCGCAGTCTGGGACGATCACTTGACGGATCAGACCAACGGTTTCTCTCTTCCGCCAGGATCAAGGCCACCTGCCTCATCTCGAAAGGCCAAGTCATCGCGAGGAATTACCGTTCCAAGACACATGACGTGACACAGCTCCGAGATTATATCTCTCTATTCGACAATCAGGAGGCCATAAGTGTGTCTTTGTACACCAGACATACAGGCCACTCTCCATGCTGGCGAGACCTGATTTATCGAGTAGGTACATGATCTTTGCAAGACATTCGATATCCGCGGCAGGCAATGCACTCAAGGGCAGTTATTTAGACCGTGTCTTACCTCTGTCCCTTCAGTGGTCATTGTTATCAGCCATCACAGGATTCAAGCTTGGTGGTTAGTTGTCACGGGCTCCCAGCTAGTGCGATCTCGCCGTCGGGAACCTTACCCGTTTCTCCCGTATTGAATCAAGCTCGAGTTACCAGGCCTTTCTATTGCGTTTTCCTCATTCCAGTCACAGGATTTGCCACGGCCAAATTACGTTGACTGAGGCGGAGGAACAGGAAAGGATAGCCTAACCGCTGCCGCCGATACAACCGGCGAAGGCAGTGATATGGTCTGTGCGACCATCCCAGGGGTTCAGGCTCGGCAAACAACTGAAACTCAGATAGGGGTACGACCTGAGGTCTGATGAAACCTGCCGTACAAAGGAGCAACCGCCCGGGCGCCACTGCCGTTTCGTAGCCTTTGCTATAGATTCGGACTGGGATTATGCCCGCTTGCACATTCACTACAGTTTGTGGCTCGCAGACTCGCAGTTGACCTTCCCCCGGGTCCCCGGGTTGCTACAGTAGCGGCCGATTCGTATGCAAGTCAAGCAAGCGCGATCTGGGGATGGACCACGACTACGCATCTGCAACGACAAGAGAAGCCCCTGGTTCCAGTCCAGGTCTCATCCTTTCTCTTACACATACATGACTCCCCTCCCCTTACGGTGACTCCCGCCTCTCTATGTGTCCTTTCTCTGGCTGACGTACATAGCAGAGCCCTGGTCTCCCCTGGGAAGGAATAGATAGAGACAATATGGTGAACCACTGTCGGACGCCCACATGGTCGGCCTCCACCACGGAATATTCCATTAAGACCGTGTGCCGTGGTTTGCGCTCGCCCTGCCTGCGAGTTGGACAAGTGCCGTTTCACGACCGAGCACGTATCACAAGATCTCTGGGAATGGAGTGAAGGCAGGCAGGTCTCTACACTAGGTCTGTCTTCGTGACGGAGTGATCTCTCAGTCCCAGGCCTTGGCAGTTTCGTTTCTTCCTCTCTCCGTTTCCTTTGCCTGCCGGCTTCACTCACAGGAGTAGGTGTGTCTGGGTCCTCTTCTTATTCTGTCTCATCGCTCGTGGCACCAACCCGGCATCCCACTCCTTCCTTTTTGTTTCTGGTGAGACCGTTGCTACGAGAGATTCCATGCTGCTGGGCGGCAGGAGGAAGGTTCTAAAGAGTGCTGGTTCCTGATCGCTCCTCCTTAGCTTCTTCCTTCGCTTTCTCTCCCTTGCTTCTGGCACTTGTTAATGTCAGTAATTCCCCTTCTAGGCCGAACCCCATTCTTCATCTTGTCATATCCATCTTTCTCAGACTCCGCCGATATTCTTGACAACTCACCAAGAGAAACTCAGCTTATTATTTGAGTTTCTTGATCCCTCCATTCATTGCTATTACACATTGGACACTCGGATTGCTCTACTTAGACTTTCACTGTTGTCTACTCATATCCCTCGTTGGAGTGTTGTTCTTGTCACACTCGTTATCACATCCTCCTGTCTTGGGATCGAATTACACAATCATGGCGGCGTCCGAGTCGATAGCCAAACACTCTCTCTTACTATCGAGGATAGTCTCACGAGAGATTAGAGAGCATAGCAACTGTACTCGAGGGTCAGATGGCTTCATCGACCCGGATAGTTGTTATGTCCCCTTTTGGTACACAAGAGTAAGTTTTGTTGTTCACCCTCTTCAGTTCACTCGACCACTCATTCCTCCAACCCTCATGGGTGACAGAGGCAGGGAGAGCATCAGTTACTATCAACAAGTTGGATCTTTCGCTAACTGTATCGTTCCCATCAGACGGGCGTCATCGTCAAATGGTCTCTCTTCCTCGGGCTAAGTACCTTCTTCGGGCTTTACCTCGTCCTAGGCTATCTACACGCCAAAAGGCGGATAGCCAAGGGTCAACCACCCATGGCTTATCACAGGGTAAGCATTATCTTATTTCTCTTTCTCTTATCTCCAAGACAATCAGACTAGAGACTAACATACCTTCAAGTGGCTCGTCGCCCGCAGTGATCTCGCCCGCGTAGACTCACGCTACCCCTATCCTCAAGCAACCATTCTCCCTTACGCCAGTGGCCAACAACCACAGCAGCAACAGCCCTACGGCAACTACGGAATGCACCCTGTCCCTCCACCAGTCTATGACCCAGACGCTCCTCGTCCTCCAATGTACCCGGGCCCGCCCCTGGCCATGGCCATGGTGCAGCCGCCGGATGGAGCGACGAAGGTAGATCCTATGCAGCCGGCGCCGCCGCCACCGCCACCGCCGCAGCCAAACTCTCGAGAGGAGCAGTATGAAGCGCCTCCTGGACCGCCACCGTCGGCTCAAGCACCGGCACCGATAAGGCAACAGGGAACGGGTGGAACGAATCCTTTTCGGGATTGAGTGATCGAATAGACTTTTTTTCCCTCTCTTTCTCTTTCCGGTGTGGGTGGCATTAAATTGGATACGTAGACGGGTCGGGCTCTCTGGATTTTGGCGTTTTCGTGGGATGGTGGGTGGGTTGGTTGGTTGGGTGGCTGGGGAGGAGGTTACAGCATTTGTCTTATTTCGTATGTCTTACTCTGCATTTATTATACCAGAAGGAACAGAACAGCACTTAAAGGACTGTGATAATAACTTGACTCGAGACTCGAGACGGAAGAAGGGAAAATTAGCAGGCAGGTGACTTGAAGTTTTCAGTAAAGACTTGATATTGATAGATGTTATTGATAACTTAAATAAACCCAGGCAATGTTTTTCCCAGTTGAGGTGTCATCGTGCGTGTTTGAGCCTCTCATGCCTTTGATAAACGCAAACGCCAAAACACCTCGCTTGTTTTATTCCTGTTCCCGTATATCCCTCCCATAGGGCCTTTGTTACCATTGCCCATTCCTTTGTGTGTGTGTGGGTGTGTATGCCCCGTTTCCCAATTTCCAAACGCTAGACGACTGACTGAATAAACTGCTGTTTGCGCTGTTGCGCTGTTTTGACATGATCGAATGTGTGTAAAGACCAGACAGACTTCTACAGTCCAAGTCTAGTCAAGCTCCATAGCATCATCTTCTTCTTCCTGAACTCCACCTAACTGCGGCAGTGACCCAGGGTGGATACTCTGCATAGTATCCGTCAACCCATTGTTGACCTGCTGCTGCTGTTGCAATTGCTGACTACTCTCCGCCAAATGCTTCTCCCTCATACGGGTGCGTGCCTCCAGAATGGCCTTGCGCACGCTATCCTGCTCCTCGGGTACCGTGATGGAAGCCGGCACGCGGTAGAGCACCAGCTGCTTGTTCAGATAGTCCGGATCGGGAGAGGGCTGGGCATTGAGGACTTGGTTGGGGATGCGGTTCTGCTTCAGGTGCTTCTCAATGTCCGGGAGGAAGATCAGCTTCCCGTCGTTTTCGGCTTCGCTCTCCGAGGAGAGCTCATCTTCGAGGTTGTAGATGTAGACTTTGTACTTGGAGTCATCGAGTTGCATGAATTCGGCGTCATCTTGAGCGGTGGCAGTGGTGGCAGGATGTTGTTGTTGGTTGACTTGGGATGCCGACGGTGATGACGACGTCGGAGAAGTAACTGAAGGCTCAAAGGAATTTGCAGCTTGTGGGTTCTCAACGGGAACGTATAGCTTCTGGCCGCCGTGTTCTGTTGTGGGTTGAGATGTGTTAGTGATTGAACAGTGCGGTGAGAGTGGTGAACATGATGTCACTGATATGATATGAGATAATGGAGGAGAGCGGTGGTGGTGGAACATACCGAGATTCAACAAGCTCATACGCTTGGAGAGACGCTCGTTGTTTTCAGGTTGTGAATCGGCCTTGCGCTTGCGAGAGCATGGTGCTGGTTGGGGTGCAACGTATTGTTGCTGAATGAAGGTGGTGTTATTGTTGTGATAGTTGTGCATGTTTTGGTGTTGTTGCTGGTCAATCATGCCGTATCCATATCCAGGCATCTCCGTGGTGCTGGCGGTGTTAATGGTGGGCGTGGTGGGCGCAACCAGGTGTGGCAGTGGTCCAGATTGGAAATGGGCCAGCATCATTTTCTCTCCTCCCCGCTAGCGGTAACTTTCCCTTCGATCCTTTCCTTCTCTTTTCCAGGGACCTTCAGTTTCAGATCTTACACCTCCTCCAGACCGCAACTGACTTTCGGAACTGTCTCTCTCCTCCGCAAGACCGGTACCGCAGCGCAGCTAGCTGCAGGGGATTTGGTAGAGGCTCCGGGTGATTTGGGTGATTTGCTCCAATCACTTTGCGTTGAGCTTCCTGATTGAGATTGGGTTGGCGAGAGATAGCAGCAGCCGATCTAGCCCGAGGCCAAGCGGTAGGTTCTAGATTGTCAGATTGTTGCCGCGATAACGGTTGGTGTTTTATTTTAGCTACTAGTGGTGCCGCTACTAGGCTCTTGGGTTTCGGGGGTTCGACCTTTTGGCTGAGAGAAAGAACGGAACTGAAAGAATGAAGAGCCTTGTGACGAACAGTTCGGGATTGTGGTTGCGCTGGTCCTCTGCGTATGGGCCTGGAACCAGCGGAAGCAGGAGCTGCAGTGGCACGAGACTGCCCCCAGCTTTTAAGGGCTTGAGTCATTGCTCACGAACCTTCCACAAGTATCGCGGCAGGACTATTACTAGGCCGATCCCGCCCTCCTCACTCGAGAATCTTCGAGCAATTACCACGTCCTCCTGCAAGTCCACCATCACCTGCACCCCGACAACCCCGACTGCTGCCACCACTACCCGCACACGCACCACACGCACCACGGCCACTACCGCGAACACCTCCACTTTCCCGGCACTCGAGCGCGTTACAACCGGTTCCGCGTCTTCTCGACGACTCTTTTCCTCTTCGTCGTCACTTTTTCAGTCTTCAACACTGCCCGCCATGGCTTCCGATTCTCAGTGGACTGGTGTCCAGGTCCGCAAGACCTTCTTGGACTTTTTTGCAGAGCGGGGTCACAATGTTGGTATGCAAACATCCCTCCGCCACATGATTGATCGCTGCCCCTCATCCCCCAATCCCATGCCCTGTCGCCCTGCCCGAAAAAAAGAAAAGAGGAAAAAAGAGAGGGCATTCTCACATGCTTCAACTGCATGCGCCCATCGCAACAATGGGCAGAGATACGCGGCGATGCCTTCATTGCATTCCCTATATACTACCGTTCGATATGATACCTTCAAACTCAATGCGCTGACCATTTTCGCCTCCTCTGCGCAGTCCCCTCGTCGTCGGTCGTCCCTCACAATGACCCCACATTGCTCTTCACGAATGCGGGCATGAACCAGTTCAAGCCCATCTTCCTGGGCACCATTGGCAAGACGGAGGATATGGCCCAGCTGAAGCGTGCGGTTGACACACAAAAGGTGATATCTTTGAGGTCGTGTGTTGCAATATTGTTGAGATCCCTTTACTGACCCTTTGCGACAGTGCATTCGCGCGGGTGGCAAACACAATGTGAGTCCCAAGCTCTCTCATCTAACCCTTGACCTATCAAGATCAATTGCTAACATAACCCTAAACAGGATCTCGACGATGTCGGCAAGGACAGCTACCACCACGTACGTACCGATGCGATCATCTACAAAACGAAACCATAGCGACTAACAACACACGATGGTAGACTTTCTTCGAGATGTTGGGTAACTGGTCGTTCGGCGATTACTTTAAGAAGGAGGCGATTGCGTGGTCGTGGGAACTCCTCACTAAGGTCTACGGGCTGGATCCCCAGAGACTTTATGTCACATACTTTGAGGGCAGCCCGGACCTTGGGCTCGAGCCGGATCTTGAGGCCAAGAACCTCTGGCTCGAGGTTGGTGTTCCCGAGGACCACATCATCCCCGGTAACATGAAGGACAACTTCTGGGAGATGGGTGACCAAGGCCCCTGCGGTCCTTGCTCTGAAATCCACTACGACAAGGTCGGAGGCGGCCGGAATGCTGCCCACCTCGTCAACATGGACGACCCCTTGGTGGTTGAAGTCTGGAACATCGTCTTCATCCAGTTCGACAGACAGGCCGACAAGTCTCTCAAGTCTCTCCCTGCGAAGCACATCGATACCGGTATGGGCTTCGAGAGATTGGTGTCTGCCCTCCAGGACAAGACCTCCAACTACGCTACCGACATCTTCACTCCTCTCTTCGCCAAGATCCAGGAAGTCACCGGTGCCAGGGAATATACCGACAAGTACGGTAAGGACGACGTCGATGGTATTGATACCGCCTACCGTGTTATTGCCGACCATATCCGTCTCCTCTCCTTCGCCATTGCCGACGGCGCTGCCCCCAACAACGTCGGCCGCGGCTACGTCGTTCGCCGTGTTCTCCGCAGAGGTGCTCGCTATGCCAGGAAGTACTTCAACGCCGAGATTGGTACCTTCTTCTCCAGAATCCTCCCCGCGTTGGTGGAGCAGATGGGCGAGCAGTTCCCTGAGCTCGTGAAGAAGCAGACCGACATCAAGGAGATCCTTGATGAGGAAGAGGTTGCTTTCGCCGTTACCCTCGACCGTGGCGAGAAGCAGTTCGAGAAGTACGCTGCTCTTGCCATCAAGAGCGGTAAGAAGAAGCTTTCCGGTGCTGATGTCTGGAGGCTTTACGACACCTTCGGTTTCCCCGAGGATCTCACCAAGCTTATGGCTGAGGAGCGCGGCCTCACCATCGATGAGGCCGAGGTCAACGAGGCTCGCGAGAAGGCCAGAGAGGCTTCCAAGGCCGTCAAGGAGTCTGTCCAGGAGTTCGCCAAGCTCAATGTTCACCAGATCGCTGAGCTCGAGACTTCTCTGAACATCCCTCGCCCCACCTCTGATGCCAAGTTCCTCAAGGGTGATGCCAAGGGCAAGGTCCAGTTGATCTTCAACGGCAAGGAGTTCCTCAAGTCCAGCAAGGATCTCCCTCCCAAGACCCCTCTTGGTCTCCTGCTCGACAACACCAACTTCTACGCCGAGTCCGGTGGTCAGGTCGCTGATACTGGCCGCATCATTATCGATGGTGTTGCCGAGTTCAAGGTTCTTGACGTTCAGGAGTTTGGTGGCTACATTGTTCACAACGGTTTCATCGAGTACGGTGAGCTTACTGAGGGTGATGAGGTTACTTGCGAGTACGACGAGCTCCGCCGTCAGCCTATCCGCAACAACCACACTGGTACTCACATCTTGAACCACTCTCTTCGTGAGGTTCTTGGTGATGAGATCAACCAGAAGGGTTCGCTCGTCGACCAGGACAGGCTTCGTTTCGATTTCAGCCACAAGGCTGCTATTCCTCTCGAGGATATCAAGAAGATTGAGGATCTGTCCAACCACTACATCCGCCAGAACCTCAAGGCCTACTCCAAGGAGGTTGATCTCGACCTTGCCCGCGAGATTGAAGGCGTTCGCGCCGTCTTCGGCGAGACCTACCCCAACCCTGTCCGCGTCGTCTCCATCGGCATGGAGGTTGACGAGCTGCTCAAGAACCCCAAGAACCCTGAGTGGCGCAAGATCAGCGTCGAGTTCTGCGGCGGCACTCACGTCGAGAACACCGGTCTCATCAAGGACCTGATCATCGTCGAGGAGAGCGGTATCGCCAAGGGCATCCGCCGTATCGTCGCCTACACCGGCGAGGGAGCCCACCAGGCCCAGCGCGACGCCCAGGTCTTCAGTGACAAGCTCGAGCACATCAACGCTCTGTCCTACGGCCCCCAGAAGGCTGCCGAGATCAAGGCCGCCGCTGTCGAGCTTGACGGTCTCACCATCTCCGTCCTCACCAAGGAGGAGCTCCGCACCCGCTTCACCAAGATCCAGAAGGAGGTTGTCGATGAGCAGAAGAAGCGCCAGAAGGCCGAGAGCAAGACCGCCCTCGACACCGTCGCCAGCCACTTCTCCAAGGATGAGAACAAGGACTCCAAGGTCTTCGTTGGCCACCTCCCCATCTCCGCCAACGCCAAGGCTATCTCGGATGTCATCACCTACTACAAGACCAAGGACAAGGAGAGGTCTGTCTACGTCTTTGCTGGTAGCAAGGACGACCAGGTCATGCATGGTGTTTATGTCGGCACTGTAAGTTTTCCCTCTATCATTATATGGTCATCGTTTACCTTGTCAAATGCTAACAAACTCTACAGGCCCTTTCTTCCAAGGGTGTCACCGCTGAGCAGTGGACCTCCGCCGTCAGCGCCGTCATCGGCGGTAAGACGGGTGGTAAGGAGCCCAGTCGCCAGGGTGCTGGTGCCGAGCCCGAGAAGCTCGAGGAGGCCGTCAAGAAGGCTGAGGAGTGGCTCTCTGAGAAGCTCAAGGATCTCAACATCTAAAGAAGAAGAAAAAAAAAAGAAAGAGCCATGTTTTCGTTAGAGTAGGGATCAAGTGTTGTTGGCTTGTCGTTTCCCCGTTGATATCCAGCAAAAAGAGTTTGTCAATTCACTTGGCCTTGTGTTTGAAAACCAAGTTGTGTATCTCCTCTTAGCAATCTAGAATGAGCGATCGAGCAAGCAAAAATACAAGAAAGTAAAAAGTCAAATAACCGGGCAAAATCACTTGAAAGGGCAGGTCATCCTTATCATATTCACGATGCGGACTTTTGAACCATCAAAGACACGTTACGAAGATCATATTGTTATCACAGGTCATGTCCTTTAATTTGGACAAGGTATTGACCTATCTACATAGGGATAAGAATATAGACAAAAAGAATACAAATTCTTTGTAACTTACAAGTATAGTAAACAATCAAATGTACAGGGGCCTGCTTTTCCACTCTCTTCATACATAGATAGATACATGAATAAGATGTCTTGTTTTTCTGATCCACTTGGTTTTATACAGTATACATAACACTGGCGTTCTTATACCACTTGAGTAGCGGGTTCTCGCCGCTCTGCGTCTCGGTCTCTTCCAGGTATGCCCAGCTGCGCATGAACTCTTCATGAGACATCACCCTGGACAGCTTGCCGGTGATGGCCTGGTAGACGAGTTCGGAAACGCGGAAGTCGGTGGGGAACATGATGTCGAAGTAACCTTGGTGGACCTTTTAGTTGGTCTGGTTAGCATAGCCCAAGAGAAAAAATGACTGCAAGTCAGACATTGAAAGTAACACCAGATGAACTCACCAAGGGCGTGGTAACGGGCACCGGCCGCCGCTGATACCTCGTCTGCACAATCGGCGCGTTCAGCCCCGGCACGGCATCAGGCAGCGAGTGGAAGTCGCTAGTCAGCAGCCGATGCGCAGGGAAGTACTTGCCCAGCACGTCAAAGAACTGCATCAGCCGCGTCGGGATGTATTCGGGCTCGCTCATGGTGCTGCTGAACGGCTTGATGGATGAAACCCACTTGCCCAGCTTCGTAGTAGGGTACGGCACCTTATACCGCCCGCCGGTGGCCGCATCCCGCACCCGGAAGTAGCGCGCGGCCACGGGATCCAGCACGGGGCTGTAGAACTCGAAGAAGTCGTTTGATTCGCTGATTAGCACGACCGCCTGCATGGGCTGTTCGGTCGTCAGGTCGTAGCGGATGGCGTCGTGGGCGAAGTTGTCGAAGACCTCGAACGCCAGGAAGAAGCAAGGGGAGGGAACGGGCTGCGTCCAGTCGAAGATGGACTGGTTGATGATTTCCACCTTGTTGAGATGTCCGCGCCCCGCGGCCGACCGCATCAGCGTCGAGCTCTGGACTTTGGCCAGCGAGTCGCTGATCTCGATCACCTTATACTGCGTGCGCGCGTACACGTCCGGGTCCATGTCGCGGATGTAGTCGAGGATGTTGAGCATGAGCGTGCCGCGGCCGGCGCCCATCTCGTAGATGATCAGATCATGGTACGGGTATGTCGTCAGCTTGTAGTTGGCCACGAGGTAGCGGGCGATGGCCTCGCCGTAATAGGGGCGGAAGAGCTCGGTGGGCGTGTACCAGAGCTGTCGCGTGTCCGAAGGGGCGACCTCGTCGAGCTTATCCTCGAACTCGACATAGCGCTGGGAAAGGACGTTCTGGAACTCGGTCTCGTCGCGGAACGCGGGGAAGTCGAAGGGCTCGCCGGGGGTGAAGATGGTGACTTGCTTGGAGAAGTAGCCGTAGTTGGGGTTGTAGAGGCTGTCTGCAGCAGAGTGCGAAAGGAAAACAGAATGTCAATGTCTCGTGCTCTCTCTGTTTCGGGCTTTGCTGTCGTAGCTTGGATTTCTCAACCCCTCGGGTAATGCGCCATGCTGTCGTGGACTTGGACCGGCAACCAACCTTCGATAAAGTCCCGTAGGAGCATCTTGACCCGACGAGGCCTCTGTTTCCTTCCCCAGAGCTCGGCTGCCGTCACCATTGGCGCTCTTTTGTACTCCTCCGTCATGTCCTGGTTCAAGAGCTTTGCCCGTTGCTGCCATTGGCTCTCATCGCCGACGGGAGAGCTCGCGCCACGACTCTGGCTCGAGTATGGTCGTCGCTGGTGTCGGCTGTGTTGTTGCTGTACTCGGTGACCATTCTGGGCTGTCGCAGTCGCAAGCTGGCGGAGGTGTTTCTGCGATTGACATGCCGGGTGATGGCGAAAGAGTTGTTTGAACAGCTGGTTAACGAGTTGCGAGTCCATCTTGGCTCGTGGGTGAGTTCAGAGCTGTTGGTGGTGAGAGAAGATGCCCGGGCAGTATCCCAGAGGCCACTGACGTCGGGGTCTGTTCGTTCTGCCACTTGCTCCAACTGAACTCCCCGTGCCAGTGAAATGGAAGGTACCGTATACCTGGTCGGTACTGTCTTGAGAGTGGACTCGTGGAGGGAACACGGGGCGCAAGGTGGAGGTTGATGGTGGAGGAAGAACGGATCTTGGAGCTTTTGCGGGGTGGCCCGAGCTCGCTTCCTGATTCGGTTCTAGCTGACAGTTGCACTCGGGACAACAGTGGCGGCTCAGGCCCCCAACGGCGCTTGCCAGTGACTCGCAGCAACGGGGAAATGCCGATTCACGATCTGTTACAGGCCTCATGGCTTCCTTCAGCGGAGGCGAAACCGGTTACCGGAGGGGCCAAGGTTCTGTCTGCCTGCCGTGGGAGATGGGTGACTGAATCGATCACACCCTGCTCTTGAAGATCCATCGTTGCATGACATCAACAGCAACTTTTAGCAAAAACCTCAAAACTCTTGGAGAACTCGGCCACATCGGACGAGACACTCTCACTTTATTTGGAACCCTTTCCTTCACTTATTTCAGACTGTTGATCAGTCGGTTCCCTAGCAACTGAGATTCGTTGTTTTCTATTTTATAAGGGCAACGGCGCAACGGCGCAAGTCTACCTTGATCACCACCCACACCCAAAGTCCAAACGGGCATGATGAGACACCACCTACTT